AAACCAAAAACATTATTGTCTTAATTATTGAACGAGTGAATCCTTAAGGTGACACAACATAACAACAGTTTTAACTTTCTTCCAAAAAATAATAATAAATCCCTCTGTTTAATGCCGCGTGATATAGATCCTAAGGCGCCCCCCCCCCCCCTCATCGCCCTCATCCCACCCCTCTGCGCGCAACTGAATGTTAATTTTGTTATACCAAGACAAGTAGGCCTACATCTCTTCGGGGTGGGGAGGGGGTGGGGGTAGAAGCACCCCCTCCCCCGAAAACGAAATGAAATTTATATAATTTATATAGGAAAATATATACTTTTAACAGTGTCCGCCCCCCCCACCCCCGAAGAAAATCTACCCCCCCCCCCCCACCCCCCCCGAAAATGTCAAGTGCCCCTCCCCCCCCCCCCCCCCGGAGAAAAAAGTCTGGAAGAAACACTGTACATATACGACATTATACGACATCTACAACAAGAAAGTCAGGACTAGAGTTCATTAGGTCACTGTCTCTACAGAACATCCCGTCTGCTCACTAAAAGGACGTCTTCATGGGTCCCGCATACAATAGGGTATCTCTTTACGTCGTGGGCTAATTCTCGACCGCCATCTCCAGTCAGCTCAGGTCAAATGCTAGGCGACCGTACCCTACACAAAGGGGAGGTGTGACACTATTTTTGTATCGAATTACGGCCTGTCCCAGTTCAGGTGGGACTCACCAACATCAACCGTTGCCTCAGTTATAACAATCAACAACGTCGGCATTCGACCATTTAGTTTTTCCCAATTGAATTCAGCAACAATTTTTTTAAGTTTATGAACCAATTCAGATAACAATGACATTGCTGAATTGCGGGGCCCCTTCAAGCGCGGGGCCTATGGCGACCGCCCCGTTCGCCACCCCCTAACGCCGGCTCTGAGTGGCATGTGCAATTAGGGCTGTTAGGAGCAAGAGCCCCCCCCCCCCCCTCCCCATGGATCCCAAATATGAAAATTGTTTCACGCTAAATTTTAATATCATAAAAACGAACATTTTACTTTCTAAAAACCGTTAGTGTGTATATATGCATAGATAATATATATATATATATATATATATATATATATATATATATATATATATATATATATATATATATATATATATATATATATATATATATATATATATATATAATATATATATATTATATATATATATATATATATATATATATATATATATATCAGGGGTCGGCAACCTGCGGCTCGCGAGCCGCATGCGGCTCTTTTGATGTCAAGATGCGGCTCTTCAGCTCCATGCAAACATATTAATAATTATTTTAATGTGTTATTAAAACTCATAAAAATATTAGTCTGCAATACTCGGTAATTAAAGATCTAGATCTAATAACAATGTAAACTTTCTAATATGAGCAGAGCTTGCTAAACTACTTTAATATGTTATGTGTATTTTTTTATATGAATAAATATTATTTCATATTTTAAGCTATTTATTTTAAATGTAATGTATATATATATATATATATATATATATATATATATATATATATATATATATATATATATATATATATATATATATATATAAATGAAATAAAAATGTTTGTGGCTCTTTAAAAACTGTGAAATGTGGTAAATTGTAACTTTTGGCTCTTTCGTCCCAAAAGGTTGCCGACCCCTGATATATATATATATATATATATATATATATATATATATATATATATATATATATATATATATATATATATATATATATATATATATATATATATATATATATATATATATATATATATATATATGCCGTATAGATAAAGTTCTTTCTATGCCACTTATAATGGATTCACCACACAGTTAGACTTCTTCTATGTCTTAGATTTGCTGCTGGTGAAGTAGTTCTCAACTAACTACCACCAGTGTTTCTTCCAGACTTTTGTCTCCGGGGGGGCACCTGAAATTTTCGGGGGGGGGGGCGGTAGACTTTCTTCGGGGGGCGGACACTGTTAAAAGTATATATTTTCTATATAAATTATATAAATTTCATTTCGTTCGGGGGGGGGGCGGTAAAAAAAATTCGGAGGGGGGGGGGGGGGCTTCGCCCCCCCCGAAGAGATGCCTGGAAGAAACTCTGACTACCACATATCTCGGAGTTCTTAAAACTGTGTACACCACAAAACGGATTGCGGCTGCTCTTGTTGTATGAAGTGGTGTAAGGTAACTTAACTAATAGTTTTACGTACTACATGTTGTGGCGTTTTCTCACGTTTTATTTTGGTCTTTGTATTTTTTCTTGACCTTCTACTTTTAACAAACACACACTCAGAAGGCTCTTAGTCTTAACAGTCTTAACAAATAGTTAAGACAAATAGACAAATTACTCGGTAATCCAATTACTCTAAGGAAAAACACATTAATAATGTAATTACTGTACCAAAAAAAAATTACTGCAAAAAAGTTAAACCTCCCAGCAGTTCTACAGGTCTAGGATTGTTATGTAAGCTAGACCGATTTCAATTCAATTATTTTAAAGAATAAAAAATGTTTATAATTTTATAATTGTTTTTACATTTCCAAAATTGAATGCGAATCTTGTGCACTGCACAATATCGAAACCAACAAGGGAAATTACTCTTAATTTTATCTTTTAAGATGTTTTACTTTGTAAGTTTTACAATTTTACATTCTTGTTGTGTCGTGATTAAATTTACAGAATAATGAATAATCATCCATAATCAACTTGTAGATCTAGATCTAGTCATCTAGATCTAAATCTAGTAGATCTAGTACTTGTCCATATCTACTCTAAAGTCTAAAGCTAGAAATCTAAATCTAATTGTCAATTGTAATTGTTTTAATAAAATTTTAATTTATAAAAATATGGCCTCTAGCCTAGCCTAGGCCTACTCTACTCTTATTAAATTAAAATATTAAAATATTAGGTAGGCCGGTAATGTATCGTTTTAGGTACGTAAAATCGCCAGCGGCTAGATTCTAGATCTAGTAATGTACGAAAAAGTTACCTCATTGTCAAGGCTTTAGTAGAAGTATATTGTCACATTGTGATATATTTGTATCAAATATTATAGATAAATGAATAATAAACCTAAATCAATGGCTAAATATATCAATATAGGCAAGAAATTAACTTTTTTTGTTAGCAGGATTTGCTATATAAAAAGCGGCTATCTGTAAGTTAGAGTGGCTCCCCCTGAATCTTGCGCTATAAGTTTACAATAAAAAATAAACAAGATGGCTGCTATAGTAAATGAGCATGGTTGCATCTGTTGGAAACATTGCTAGTCTTCATTTATTAATGACAATTTTTAATTCAATTGTTTAAAAACAGGTACATAAATGAAACAAGGAAACATTTTTGTATTTTTCAAAACATAAATCATCCTCAAAATGTGAAATAATTATTAAAAATTAAGGAGTCACCTGATTTTCACATTACTAGTCGCGGGCGATTTTACTTACCTAAAACGATAGATTACTGGTAGGCCTAATATATTTATTAGAAATATTAGGCCTAGGCCTATATATAAGTATATTTTATATTATTATATATTGAGTTTTTGTCTATACTATATGTCATTATTATATGATGATATGAGTATCATTAATATGACTCAATGACTATTGAATGAGTAGACCAACATTTACATTTTTTACTCTAACTAATAACTAAGGGGTCATCCATAAATGACGTCACGCTTTTTAAAATGATTTTTACCTCCCCCCCTCCCCTCTTTCACACATCATCACAAAAAGCCAGACCCCCCCCCCCCCCCCTAAAATGACGTCACACCTCAGTCAAAATTGCAGTTGAATTTCTCTTAAAACATCGATATTTTTCCAAAGTCTTGTCTAAACTCTGTCAAAATAGAGTATTTTAATAAATTCCTATTAAAACAGTTTTCTAAAACGCGAAATAACGCCTAAAACTAGTGTTCTAACATTGCTTTTTTATAATGCAAAAGTGTGACGTCGCATGATCTGACCCCCCCCCCCTCCCCCTCATCACACACAGTCACAAAATTAAGGACCCGCCCTCCCCCCTACGAGTGTGATGTCATTTATGGACGACCCCTAATTATTTATGACTTCTACAGTGGAGGGCTGCCAACACAGCAAGCTAGACAGTCTACAACTCTACAGGTGAGTGCAAACCAAAGGCAGTGACACTACCTACAGCTACTACTTATACTAGCCAGTATATCATACTTACAATATGTCATACATATATGCCACTTAATTCTCTAGACCTCTCAAATTTTGCTAGTAATTGCTCACACACTCTACTCTACTCTACTAACTATACACATTTAGAATAAAACTTGACTATAGATAATATTTAACTAAGCAAACAAGTTATCACAAATAGGTTTAACTATGTCACATGTTAAATTCAGAATTATCACTAACATCGTTTAATCCTAAATTACTATCACAATGCTGTAGTTAGAACTGTTAGATAATTTCTGAGACATTGTTTTTCAGTATGAAATGATGAAGAGAGGACGCGCAATTTGCCTTGTAACATTGGTATTTCTGAAACTTGTTTATGCTGTTAGCACAGAACATGTGGATGATGACGAGATTGACCCTAATGACCTGTTGCACTTCGACCCAGTGAATATGAGAATGATAAAGGTAAGCAAAATAGGTATGAAAATGTTTACTGTAAAAATTAGCAATTAACAAGTAGGCCTATCTATAAAAATATGTGAAGTAGCGAAGGTTTTGCTTTTAAATTCAAGGAAAAAGGAAGTACCATTTCAGACCTGAAATGCCAAGAAGATAGTTGAAGTGAAGAACATTATCTCCCCTATGCCTGTACCCATTGAAATTTAAAAGACCTTGTAATGTCTAACAGAAATGTGCACATGCAAAGGTACTTGTGGCTTAATGAACGCTCAAGAAACAAGGCTAGAATTTATAAAAAGGGAAATGTCTGAGAAAAAAGCCAGGCAACAATACAACTGCTAGTCTTAGATATTTCTGTTATGACTCTGTTTCATCTTGGTTGGTAAATAATAGCTCAACAAACACAAATATTAACCCTTCAACCAAGTATGTTACTTTCTGCCTATTTCTCTTTTTTTCAGCTACTGTTTTGTTGCTTTAAATTAAATAAAAAAAGTACTGGTTTCAATTTTAGGATGTTCCAAAAACAGAAACCACAAGAACACCACCTTCAACAACTCCATTACCAACTGTTGAGAGTAAAAAGACCAATGATGTCACCCCAGGGCTAAAAGATGGTGATAAAACCTGTTCCATTGCTGAAAAATCCTACTCTGAAGTTATGCCTCTTCTACGACAGTTCTCAATGACATTAGTTAACCATTTGGAAAGCAAGGTAAAAGTAAAGTTCCCTTTCAAACCTGACGGTCTATAGAGCAAGTGAAGTAGAGTTCACTTGTTTCTTTGACCTCGGCATATGAAGAGATAGTGTGGTCAGCACTATGCCCAGCTGCCTTTACTTTCCCTAATGTGACTTAAGTACCCATCAGAGTAATTTATCTTTCTTTTAGATATATGTTGTTTGAAATCATAATTTAAAAATTAGTACTGAGACAACATTAATGCATGAAAAACTAAAAATTAATTTTAAAAAATAATTCTCTTACCTGTACAGAAAATATTTTATTTTGAAAATTATTCAAAAATGTTTAACAAAATTGATGTTTCTTGTTGTGCATCATCACCAAGGCTCTATACCCATCAGGACAGCAACCTTTTACTAATGCCGTTCATTTCAAACTTCTTTCATTTAGGTCACCTCAAGAGAAAAGGTAGAGATAAATAACCTTTTACTAATGCCGTTCATTTCAAACTTCTTTCATTTAGGTCACCTCAAGAGAAAAGGTAGAGATAAATAACCTTTTACTAATGCCGTTCATTTCAAACTTCTTTCATTTAGGTCACCTCAAGAGAAAAGGTAGAGATAAATAACCTTTTACTAATGCCGTTCATTTCAAACTTCTTTCATTTAGGTCACCTCAAGAGAAAAGGTAGAGATAAATAACCTTTTACTAATGCCGTTCATTTCAAACTTCTTTCATTTAGGTCACCTCAAGAGAAAAGGTAGAGATAAATAACCTTTTACTAATGCCATTCATTTCAAACTTCTTTCATTTAGGTCACCTCCAGAGAAAAGGTAGAGATAAATTTAAGGCTTCAAGTCAACTCAGATCAGATCACAAAGCTTAAAAACTTTGGACAAAAAAAAAATTCAGATGTTCATGAAACGTTTGAAATTTTGCGCAGTGTAGTGCATCATGCAAGTGATGTCCTAGACCCTGTGTCCAAATTCTATTGGCTGGAAGATAAACTAGGGCTGTCAACACAAAGCTTATTACAGGTTGAGTTTGTTCATTCAGCTTTCTTTTAAATTGATTGTTTAAACATTATTTTTGTTAAGTAAGTTTTCTTTATTTCCAAGTATTTTTCACTTTGAAGAAGTTTGCCCTTAACGTTGTAGCAATGAAATTTTATACAATAGTTATGTTTCAATTTTTACTTGTAATAATATTTCCTTGAAATGTCCAAAATGTGGAAAAACTTGGAAATACCTTGTTTGGGTAAAAAAAAATGGGAATAAAATTGTTGTATTTTTAGATGGTCTGTTACATTTCTGATATGATTATATGATTTACTTTTGATTTACTTTTTTATAAATTATTTAAATTGCCATCTTTTAAATTTTGCTTTATAATTTATACTTTAAAATGATCCTGTCAGTTTTACTTTTAAAAACTTTTAAAACCAGATAATTGCCTCTGTAGCCCTAGCAATAGCTGTTGTGAAGATGCTATGTACAACAGTTATAACTCTGACGTTAGCCTTTAGAGCTTTGTTTCTTATGTTTGTTGTCAGTGTGGTTTTCACCTGGATTGAGATGTACCAAGTAAGCATTTTGTTTTACATCATACTAATTTTATTTTATTTACACCTGTTTACAATTATAACAAAAGTAAACGAAGTTTTTAAAAATGTATACTTTTGTAAAAACAGGTAGAGCTGGCTGAACAAGAAAGAATATTTTTAGACAAAATGGCCAAGTCTTGTCCACAGCCTGACGAAGGTATCTGGAGCGCTGTGAAATCTTTTTTGTCGTCAACGTTCAAGTTTAAAGACAACAAATGTCAGAAATATTACCAAGCTATGCTTGTGAACCCAGTTACTAAAGTTTCACCAATGGAAGTAAGTGCGCAACTTCTTTATTGATATTTTGTAATTAACTTTTATAAATAATTGCAGTTTAGTGCTTATATCACATATCTGATACATTTTTATTGTAATTTTATTTTTTGCTGTTTTGTTTTAGTGTCTCCTGTAGTTTGCTTAGCCAGCTTTGATCATTGTGTGATGACATGTTCATTAAATGCATGTCTCATTTAGTTTTACCAGCTGCCTTTAATATAACTCATGTATATATCTCTCAGCAAAGTTATCCATTCAAATATGGTAATCAATGGTACAGGTAAAGTAGAGTTCACCTGTTTCTGAAACCTTTGCATATTAAGGGATATTGTTGTCAGCACTATGCCCGGCTGCCTTACTTTCCCTTACATGAATCATGTACCCATCAGAGCTGGGTGGGCTCTGGGACGTCTTTTGGACTTGAGTCCAGAGTCTCAACTTAAAACTTTAAGTTTTGCAGTTACGTTCTACCCTCCATATATGCCCCACATATCTCTGTGTTCAGTGGTAGCTCAAGTAACTGTGAGGGAAAATCATTTTACAATGTCTCTGTTAACTGTAGGTTTCTTCTGGCTCTTCATCCTAATTGAATTAATTTAATACACTTAGCGATTAATTGCTTTTTTTAAAATTCTGATTACATGCTGGTGAATGTCATTGATTTTCTGTCTTTGCTTTGAATACAAAAACACATATTACCCTTGCTTTTCATTATAATTGTATTTCTTTTCTTAAACCATTTCCTGGAAGAATGCGTTTCACTTCTCTAGCTCTACACCTTAACACTGGCAGCTCGAGAAATTCCTTTCACCGACTATTGAATCAAAGACTTGCATGATGTTTAGTTAATGTAAGCTCAGACTTGTTAACATGTGCCCCTTACGTTCTTCCCCTGCAGGCCATAGCCGTGGCTGTCGTCAAAACTGTTGTAGCACCAGCAGGGATAGTTGGTCAAGCCATATCAGATTTCTTAACCGCACTCCTCAAAGATTTGCCCTTTCATTTTCAACTGATAGTACCAGTGTTACTAATAGTCCTCCCCCTTTTTACTTTGGCTGTGATCAGAGGTTACAGTATCAATATTCTACATCTGATTAATATTGGACCAGCACCTCACAATGTAAGTTTACAAATTATATACATTTTTCATTTGAGCATAGACGGTTTTTTAAATTTAATTAATTAAGTTTACTTTGATGCTGGTCTGAAAATTTCCGTATTTGACCAGCACTGTGACATAGGAAAATAATTGTTCTGCTATTACAGTCTTTTCTATATTTCAAACACCATCATGGCTGACGGTAGACTTGGGGAACTTAAGTAAAAATGAAATGTCAATGTTAAAAAATATTTTGTGTGTGTCAAAGAGGGGATTTAAATATTTGTTTATATATTATCAACACAAATCATAGAAAAAAATGACTATTGTATTTATTTTTTAGAATAGAGCACCTGCTGTAAATCTTCCTAACCAGCCAGCCCCACATCTGGCACAAGCGCCACCAGAGGTGCAAGCCCCACCCATGGCACAAAACCCACCTCTGGTGCCAGCTCCACCCCTGGCACTAGCCCCACCCATGGCACAAAACCCACCAGAGGTGCAAGCCCTGCCCCTAGTTCAAGCACCACCCTTAGCACAAGCCCCACCCCTAGTACAAGCCCTACCAGAGGTGCAAGCCCCACCCTTAGCACCAGAGGTGCAAGCCCCACCCTTAGCACAAGCCCCACCAGAGGTGCATGCTCCATCCCTGTAAGCCTTGCGTGTCATGCAAACCTTAACCCTGACACCTCTTGCATAAGCTAATCACCTGGCACCAGAACTTATCACTCATTTCTGTTGATTAAAATGTTTCCTAATTAACTCCATAGTTTCCATAAGGCATCAGAACTTACCACTCATTTCTGCTGATTAAAATGTTTCCTAATTAACTCCATAGTTTCCATAAGGCATCAGAACTTACCACTCCTTTCTGCTGATTAAAATGTTCCCTAATTAACTCTATCGTTTTCATAAATATTCTGTCATAAATAACATAGTATCAAAACTAAGCTTATTAACTGCATTGACACTTATTTAACATTTTAGTCCATAGCACCTGCAGCATACCCTCCCATCCAGCATGTCCCTATTGCACAACCTCCCATCCACCAAGCCCCATCTCTAGCGCAGGCTCCTGTCCTTCAGTCATCATCAGAGCCTTACCTACTCAACTCCAATGCTCAAAGAACAGAAGCTGAGCTTTTAAAGAGAAACTTTTCACTGGGCCAGATCAGCAAGCCAGGTGCCTTACAGTACAGCAATGCTCCGGTTCCAGAGAACCAAGAAAGTATCCAGGTACAGAGTTGTGTTCGTCAAAGAAATGTTGATAGGTCCCAAGTGATCCCAGCTACCAGAAAACATGAGACTCATCTTCAAAGTGGGAGTAAAGCTGGTGATGGTACTACAGTGGGGACAGAGGAAGAAACAAGGTCAGACAGCGCTGATGTACCTCCAGTACAAGAACAGACATGCCAGTCTACACCACCAATCAGTGAAACTGTTTCTTGTGAATGTGTACAAGAGGGTGGGAGATCAGAAGAGACAACAGCCATGGAAGAATGTTCAGGGTGGAGCATGAAGGCTGAGGATGAAACCATGGAAACTACAGAACAATCGGATCTCTCCCAATCTCATGAAATAGCCAGGAAGTTGAAGGATTTGAACATAGCTGATGGATGTCAAGAAATGGACTTGATAAGTTCATAAAATTATTAAGGATTATTCAAGAAGATTGCTCATGTAAGAAATTAAGATCAAGCAAGTACTCAGCACTGGTTGCTTTGAAGCAGAAAAACATTGAAACTGAGGGCATCTTTTGTTACAAATGAATTTAGAAGTATACTGCTGACAGTATTGTGATAAGTTTGATATGATTTTTTTTGTAAATATTATTTGCTTTGAATGTAATACAAAAAATTATTCTATACCTAAACAGAAATCCATTTAATGATTAAGGCAGTTCCTAAGTTTTGATAAAATGTCCTTTGTGTACAAACTTCCAAAATAAATGGATATTTTTTTCAGAGTGGATCAATGTTTAATAGTGAATATAACCGATGACTAACATTGCTAACAAAAACTTCTCAATAACAATATTGCATAGCTGTAATTTCAAACTTTCATACAATAGAACATGGATCTCAACAGAATTAGATAAATGCAACAATAATTTTGATTTAAAGCATTAAAAAAATCTTCTACAAATAAAATCACAGCATTTAAATTAAAAAATGATTCAAAATAACGCAAGTTTTTCTTTAAAAAAAAGTCTGGAATTACATTTCATTGCATCCTTACTACAATGGCTCATTTATATATTTTGACAACCATATACTTTTAAAAATAACATTAAAATGTAGACATATTTGTTAAGCAAAATTAAGGTCATGAAAATAAATACCATAGTTCAATGTAAATGTTTGTTGTACAATAATATGGAATATTTAAAAAAAAAAACTAAGTATAAAAGATGAATGTATAAGAATAGCATATAATTTTCTTAGCTTAAAACAGTTACAAAAATATAATCATTATCAGACATAAGAGCCTTTCAATTATTAATGCCATGGCTTGTATGGTGGGAAGTTGGATGAACTTTAGACATAGTGAAAATCTGATTAATGTTGCAGAGGATAGTGAGATTATTTGATTTTTTGTTAGTTCTCCATTTTAAGGAATGCAAATACCCTACTCAAGGGTGTGAATTTAAATATACACATGAATCTGATTTAGGTCCTCATCACTGCCATTCAAGTATAACATTTATGAAAATTTGTGAGCATTTATCACTTGTGGATATTGTCACACAAAAATTATTTGTTCATTTTAAAATGTGTGCCTTATTTTTTAGTCTATCTTTATATGTGTATACAGAAATAAAAATTACTTCTTTCTAAAAGGCACTTTGATTGAAACAGCTTTTGATTAATTGTGATCAATGTATTATTTTGAAAAATCTGACTAGTGAAATACAGGAATATATCGCATGAGAAATGAACATTTGAAAATAAATAGTTAAGAGATCACTAACCAACAAGAAATACTTGCATGGATTGTTTTTATTGTAAAAATGTTTTAGCACCTCAAAGTGTCTACTTAGCTCAATTCTTTTTATCTACAAGAGAAAATGTGTACATGCTTTTGACTAAGTAGAATAAGAGCAGTCTAAATACATTTCTGAATATCTAGTCTAAGACATGCTTAAAAACAGAAAACCAAAAAACAAACAAATCTATAACATGAAAGTTAAGAGATTGCATTCATGTCTTCTGAATAAGAGTGTACAGCATCTATAAATACTCCCACGTGGTCTGGATCTGTCTCTTTTAGTACACCATGCCCAAGATTTGCAATGTAATGTTGTGTTCCAAACTTGGTCAGCATGTCTTTCACAGCCTTTTTGATTTCATCCTAAATATTATACAAGGCAGATTTATGTAGCTGTACATGTTAAAAAGGAAAGCATTTTTTTTTAAAAATGTAGGATTAACACTGAAATAATTAACGAGACTGATTTAAAAAATGCACCTTAGTTGCAAACATCATGACTGGATCCAGATTACCCTGCAATGTCACATGACTTCCAGCTAGTTTCCTGAAATTTAAAAAAAAATTGTTAAAGCACTAAAGGGCTAAGTGTTTTCTATAGCTTTCACTAAGTTGACTCATGAGTGAAACCATGTCCAATTTTATTTTTCACCCGTGTCTCCAATCTTACCTGGCATGAAGTGGCTGAACACACCAATCTAAACCAACCACATCGTACCCTGACTGGGAGAGATCTTCTATAGCAAAGTGTGCATCTTTGGCAAATACAATCTGTGGATATGGAGAGTGAGGACCAACTTTAATATTATTGTAGTTATTTACTATTGGTACGAAATCAAATTTAACGTTTTAGGGCTTAGGGTTCCTAACCTCAAAATTAAACAGTCACCCATGATAGAGCAATAATGTCACATGGTTGAGCCTGTCCAAGCTAAACAGATATAGAAGTAACCTAGAGTACAAGCTGGCAATGTAATTGTTACCATTGGTACAGGATCAAGGTTGAGTTCCTTTAATTGCTCTTTCACTTCTCTAGCTATACTCCTTAACACAGGCAGCTCAAACTTTGAAAAAATTCCAGGACCCAGTTCTCCAGCAAATGAATCAAAGACTTGCACAATCTGACAGGCAGGAAATGAACAAAAACTTACATTTATAAAAGCACAGCATAAGCAAAAAATAAACTTGGTGACTAGAGAAATGTATGTAATCTGAGAATTAACATTTTGAGTAATGCAATGTGGTTTGATTAATTTTGTTTAAACATGTTGACTATTAAATGGGAAAAAAACTTAGGTAAATTTGTTAATTAACACGACTAGAAAAATTGATGTAAATTATGAATTAACATGCTCAGTGGAGCAATTGATGTAATTTATGAATAAACCCTAAACATCTTGACTATTGAAACTGAAGTGAATATGTGAATGAACATGTTTGACTAGAGAAATTAATGCAATTCATGAATCAAGATATTAACTATTTGTGGTCAATAATACATAGACTAGATACAACTCCAATGTTCTCACCTGTGCTCCTGCTTTGATCTGCTGCACTAGGTGCTTCACCACAGCATCTTTTAGAATACCCAGCAACTCATGGCCAGCGTCTGGGTGTTCTACGAGAAACTTCCTGGCTTTGTGGGGGTTGGGACCAGCACTGACATTCTCAATCATAAACTTCATAAGTGTCCACTGGAAAAGACAACAAAAACTAGAATAAAACTATATGTTCTTGATAAAATGATAAGTGACATTAAAATATAATATTAAAAAAAAAATAACTTAGTTATCTATAAAGTAAATGTAAATAGAAAAAAATGCTAAACAAGAATTGAGACTATTTATTGGTTGTTAATATGAAGGGAAAAAAAACTTTATTATTGAAACAAAATAAAAAGTGACTTACATGTAAAGTAAATATACTGTTACAAAATAATTGCTGTTAAATAAAATGACACTACACTAAAAACTATTACTACTATACCTGTAAAAACATTGGGTTTTAAAAGTATTCACATAAAAGAACTTACAGGAGCTCCAGAGAATCCAAACAAAGGCACTTTTCCCTCTAGCTTTACTCTGGTTAATGTTATAGCTTCATACACATATCCTAACTCAGCAACGATATCAAAGTTTGGATTTAACCGTTTAACATCTTCAGGCTTGGAGATAGGATCAGCAAACACCGGGCCCTTAAAATAAAATAAAAAATACGTTCTTATCAACAAAATTATATTTAAAATTTTAATTTAAAGGTACAAAATAAAATAAACTTTTAAAAAATTTAAACTCGGAAAGTTAATGTAAAGAATTCTTACCTCTCCTGGATCATTTGCAACTGTTAAGCCTAAAGCCACTGGAAGGACTAGAATATCAGAAAATATTATAGCTGCATCTAAACTGTAACGACGTATTGGCTGAAAAAAAAAATTCAATTGATTTTTTAAAAATCGTAAAAATGTGGGTAAATATTAACAGATAATAATGAAATTCATTTCCGAAGATGATTGCTATTGAATACTATAGCTAGTTGTGTAGTTACCTGAAGGGTAAGTTCACAAACTAACTCTGGATTCTTGCATGTTGCAAAAAACTTTGTTTTACCTTTGGCTTCCATATACTCTGAAAAAAAAATTTTATTACATAATAAAAAAGATGTTTGAGTCAAACAAGATGGGCCTCTACAACAACACTTGCTAAAATATAATGTGTGTACTGCATGGAGAAAGATTTTAAATAAGACTGTTGTGTTTGAATACATCAAATTTATAATTCTCTTAGGTATCTTTAACTAAACTAATTATAACTTAATGCTGCATTAACAGTTTGTGAGAAATATATCTATTGTGTATGGTAATTTTTGTAGGCTTGAGCAGTTATACTACCTGGTAAATAGCGACCTGCTTGCCTCATTATCCAAACAGGCACTCTTTCTGTCCTCTGTCCTCTTGCAGCACGTAATATTAAGTCATTCTTTAGGGGTGCAAACACCTGGAAAAAAACAAAACTTTATTTATAGGTTATAGGTCTATACAAAATTATAATATCAGGGTGCCAATAAAATCAATGTCCAAATTTGACCAATCCTGAAACCAAAATATACTATTTTTAAAACATTGAAACTTATGTTGCACTGACATTTTTTATAAAATTTACTATTAGCCCTATTTCATTTCTTTTTTTGATATATTTCATTCATATTAAAATTCAATAGGCCCATACAGTCTTTTAGTTGAATAATTATTTTTGTAACAATCTTTGAGTGAATATTAATATTTTTTTAAAGGATTATGCATGTAGGGACCTTACTAAAATTGTTTAAAATGTCACTATTTTTTCAGACCCATCTCTACCCCATACATAATGATTCTAAATACAATATCATGGAAGTTCCTAAGTTCTTGTGGTAGAATTTCAGAAGTAACCCAAGAAATATCAGTCGAGATATAAGCATGTTGAAAGGTAGAAAACTAGTGGTGCAATAAATGACGTCAAGCCAATGTTGAGTAATTCTACATTTGCACAGCAGTGGATATAGGATTATTAATTTAGTAATTATAGGCTAATCTAGCAGTAATCTGGGCTTATCATTATATTTAGGCTAGAATCTAATTATAAATTTAATAGGCTAAATTATAAAAATCGGTAATCTATCGTTTTAGGTATGTTAAATCGCCCGCAACTAGTAATGTGAAAAACAGGTGACTCCTTAAATTTTAATAGGCCCTAATTATTTCACATTTTGAGAAGACTTGATGTTTGGAAAAATACAAAAATGTTTCCTAGTTTCATTTATGTACCTGTTTTTAAACAATTGAATTAAAACTTTTCAGTAATAAATGAAGACTAGCGATGTTTCCAACAGATGCAACCATGCTCATTTACTATAACAGCCATCTTGTTTAAGTTTTTTTTGTAAACTTATAGCGCAAGATTCAGGGGAAGCCACTCTATTTTACAAATGGCTGCTGTTTATAAAGCAAATCTTGCTCGCAAACACTGCTGTTTAAAGTCAAAGTTAATTTCTGGCCTATATTGATATATTTAGCCATTGATTTAGGTTTATTATTCATTTATCTATAATATTTGACACAATTATATCACAATATACGTCTATTAAAGCCTTGACAATGAGGTTTTATAAACCTAAATTTTAGCTTTTAGGCTAAAATGATAGATTACCATCTGCCAAGGCTAGTAATGTGGAAAAAAGGTGACTAATTATTACGAAGTGATTACTCGGAAAAAGATTTTTCGCCCTAACGTCTCCACCTAGTTGGCAAAAGATAGTTCTGCACATGCGCAATGACATATGGCTAGGGTTAGGATTAGGGATCGGGTTAGGGCTAGGGTTCTGCGGTTGTAAACACACTCATGCGCAGTACCATCGAAAACAATCCTGCCAAGGCAAGTCGTAGTTTAAGTTTATCTACATTGTGCAAGCATATCTTTTTCCGGCTAGCGTAAATTCTACACATTCACAAAATGCCGGTCAAATGCTCACAATATGATTATTATGATTAATATGATTATTATTATGATCAATATCACATCACAACAGAACAAGTGACAAGACAACACAAGTGTTACACAAGTGAGTTTGAAGTGAGTCAACTCTTGAAGGCTGATATTAATAGTTTGAATAGGGCCTATAAAAATAAGTCCAAAACTTAATTTTTAATTAGGGGTCTGAAGAGTCATAGTTGAAGAAAATTAATCAGGCTTAAATCTATTCTGATTTATCGATAGTTTATGGTTTAATAATAATAAGAAGTTAAACCTGTGTATGTGGCGATATGGGTGCAGCCATTTTGATAACTTTAACTGCGATACTTTGGTGTCATTCGGCTAACACTCTAAAAAGCAATAGATTTAGATCTAGATCTAAATACTTTTTAAAAAATCTGTAATTGCTGTTGAATAACTTAAATAGCTTGCAACAAGTTTGATTTCCTATAATTACTAGAGTATTTTTCTATAATTAAAAAGTGCCTTTTTGTAAATATTTACTCCATAACTACTATGTTTAAATATGGCTACCTAGTACCTACCTATAGCAACAGCTGAAGAGAGAAAAAGTGTTGTAACTTCAAGATTGCTCTTGATAGTGCAAAATTGGCAGTGTGGATAAGGACCTTATAAAATCCAATGTTTGCATCTATAATTTAAATTTTTAATACAAATTTGATAGGCATTCTTAACTGCTGATTTAAAAAAAATATTAAAGGTACCGATTACAACGTCAAATTTGTTGGCACTGACACACATAAGTAAAATTATTTAAATTAGTTGCTTAAGCATTTGACTACACCTAGGTATAGATCTTTACTTAGTTATATACTACAGTGTGGAAATGCCGATGCCACCCAAACCTGCTGCTAAAAAACCAGCGCCAGTAAAGCCTAAAGGAAAACTTTCTCCCGACAATTCTAAAAAGCAGAAACCCAAAGGTTTGTGTTGTATTTTATAATTTTTGTAGTATACATTTTATTTAGGTAATTATTTTATTTTTGACAGTGTCTATTAATTTAATAATTTTTGTTGTTTACAAATATTAAAAGCCTTCAAACTCTATTCATAGTTTGCTATTTTTAGCCAACCAAACATAATTATTGCTATTAAAATTGATAGTCCTGCACATGTGGGCAAATTAATTTTATAATTATTTTGTGTATGACATTAAAATGTTGGCGTTGTGCCCATTTAGCCAACTGTGTATTTGGTGAATGGGAAGAATCCTAGTGCAGCTGAGAAATTAGTGATGATTAGTGCTGTACAGTCAATTTTTGAGTCACAACAATACTAATAAATTAACCAACCATTTTGATAATTAAAATAGGTACCTAATAAAGGTAGATAAATGTTTTGTATTTGAACAATAGTGAAGTTTATGCTTTTTATGCTTTCATACAAAGGGAAACAACTCAGTTAATATTATTGGTGAAATCAACTTAGTATTATATCCCCTTACAAGTTTGGTAAGTTGATTTACGAGAGTCCAATGGTAGATCCCATTATCGAAAAATCTAAAAATCTCTGTGCAAGAATGGCAAGTGATTAATTTTTAAAATAATATTTAACATCCATAGAATCGTTTTCCTTTAACCAAATGAGGACACCACCAGCTTTTCTATTATGGCCAGCTTTTGTTAGATCTTCTGTTAAAATAATAGTCTGTTGGCAGATTCTTTTGTCTTCTTCTTTATTCATAATTGTAATGTTTGGAGGGGATTTCCTCCAACACAATTAAGTATTTCATGTCAACTTTTTATACACTATATAGGCCGTTGGTTCTAATTTCAGCCTGCTTTTCTTTTTGGATTTGCTTTGATTTTGGAGTTTTCTCTCCCAAATGGATTGCTGTCCCCAGCTATCAAACCGCATCTGCCCAATGTTCAAATTTGGGACTTTTCTGCTTAGCAGCCATGAGCTTTGCTGATCCCACCACACCATCCCCTATTGGCTGATAATATTTATAAATAAATTACTCTCAGTGCTTAAGTTTGTTATTTGTCAAAATTGATTACTTAATTTGAGAACCATGTCAATAAACTCTTTTAGCATCAATGTAATATAATGCTAATAAAACCAATTCTAACACTGCAATCTAAGCTGCTAATGGAAAGAATGATAAAAGTTCTGTATTATATAAAATTGTTCTTGTTATGCTTGTATCACTAATCACAACTTTAACCCTAAACTGCTGAAAAAAAATGATATTTTATTGCTTTGCTGCAGATTCCCATCTGCACTAACCAATGTCACATAGCAATTTGTATCTTTCCAGGATCACCTGAAAATGAAGCTCAGAAGGAAAGAGAAATCCAAGCCGCTATACAAATTCAGACTACATTCCGCAAGTTTATGGCAAAGAAAGAATTAGAGAAAAGAAAGGTTGAGAAATTTCAGTATGCAGAACAAATGGACAAAATAGAACGTGAGGTTGGAATATTTACAATTTTATGTTAATGATGCTAGATAATAGGTTTGAGTCTTGACATAGTAGTACAAATCTTGGGTGCTAAAAATATACGTTATTATATTACATCATACTATTCATGTGTGCACACGTAAGCACAACAGAGCAAAAACAACAAAGTCACAACAAACTAACAATAAATTTAAAAAAAACAAATCAACACAACAAATTGTCATGAACAGGACATTCAAAATATAATATTAAAAAATACAATAATTAGAAACATAACAACATAACTAAACATAAGAAATACTATGAAGCAAAAACACACCATAGCCAAAAAAAAAAACCCACAACAAATTACGCAACAGTAAAAAAAAAACACAACACAATAAATACAACAAAACACAACACAGCAAAATCAAAATGCAATGAAAACAACACATTATAAAGCAACTATATAATTTTAATAATTTTATAATTTAAAAAATGATTTTAGTTTAAGGTGTATATTTTTAACTAATTATTAACCTTCCTCAGATTGTGCCAACAATGTGTGCCAAACACAAAAATATTTGGTTCTGATATTTTGATGTCTATTTTTGACCTACATACTAATCTTGAGTTTATATATATGAATACTAAGAATAAGGAAATAAAGAATCTTCACTATAGCAGAATAGATTTTTATCATTTTATTACAGAAGTAAAAAAAACATAGCTCTGAGATTCTCAGTCACTGCTTAGTAAGTTATTTTATAAAATGTCCTCAGGCTTATTTGTACATGGTTAAACTAGATCAAGAACAGAACGAAAGAAAAAGATTAAAAGAAGAAGAGGAAAAGAAAATAAAACTTGAGGAAACCAAAAGAAAAAAACGGATGTTGGAAGCTGCCTATGATGGGGACGTGGGTGTTATGAAACAAATTTTAAAAGAGGTATTTTAAATGTATTTAGTTGTTTATTTAGAATTATTTTTCTTATTTGGTTTTAGTTATAAAATTTTGTCTAATAAAATATTATTTAAAGCCTGCGCAACAGCAAATAAATTGTTGATAGGAAACAGGAAAAAGTTTCACAAAGCCGTCTTTCAGAAATTATAACTTTATACCCGCCAACAACTAATCTTTATGGTCAATCTTATGTTAAGTATTTACCATATAATTAGTTATGAATTCCAGGCAACTCACACCATAAAACTCTTTTATTACTTAATGCCTAGTGTTTCTTGAGACAACTGCCATAAGGCACAATTTCACCATTATTTAAACTAACTGGAGTGGCATTCATAAGTTCTTGCCTAACACAACTAGTATGAGGGGATATATATGTTTCTTTGTGATAAGTCTTTAACAAATTTAATTCTTTTTTTAGTGGAAGAAGAAAATTAACTCAAAAGTTATATCTTAAGACCAAAAACTGTCAAGTTGAAGATCCATTAAGGATATTCAAGTTTAAATGACTTTGCCACAGTAAAAAAAAAACATGTTTCTATTTGCTTCAAGGTTGAAGATGCTGACAATGCAGCAGGGATTGCTCAAGATGTTGTTGGTAAATGTATTCGTGCAAAGCATCAGCTGCAGCTTGTTGAGTGTGAAGATGCTAATGCCAACACTGCACTATCTGAAGCAGCAAGTAAGTTTTCTTCAAGTTGTTAAAGTAGTTAATCCTTTCTATATCATATTTTCTATGAAGCTTGTAAGTAGTGATGAGATCTTCTATTATTGGTAAAGCAAAACTGATCAAAAGTGCTTTTGCTGATATGTCTAGCTAAGCTTAGTCATTGGCTATGAAGAATAAATATTGATTTATAAGCCAAACTATCCTTGTCTAAAATATGTAAGCTCTTACAACTCAGGAAAAAGTTGGATTTCAACTCTCTTTGTTGCATTTGGCTCTATAACTGTATACCCACTATCCCCAAAATAAAATACAAGCATGGTTATAGTTTTTTTTTAAAATGTCTACTTTAAGTCATAATTACGAGCTAATTATAATTTTTTTGTTTGAAAATGCTGTGCATTTATGGTGTTATAAATCTGGTTTGTAGATGGTGGTCATGCAGCAGCCATTAAATTCTTACTGGATCAAGGCGCAGACCCAAATACCGTGGGTCAGTTCAACAGGACTCCACTCTACAGAGCTGCCTTTGGTGGCCATCTTGAAGCTGTGTTGGTAAGGGAGTATTTTTTAAAATTTGTTGCATGGTACAATAATTTCCCTTTTCCTATACTTAATCAATTTTTTTTTAATTTAGCCAAGTGGTTATTTAAATTATTGATGTCAAAGTACATTTTTTTTTCTAAATTTAAATTTTAAAATCATCAATTTTTATAACTATAAAAATACAGATTTTCTCAAAGTTTAGTGCATGCTCAATAAATGACCTACATTATATGGATATAAATTATTCATATATTACATTATTTATTACCAACTATGTCAGTTATATTTTATTATATAGACTGAAAATTAATTTTTACTGTGTTTGATTTTAAGTAAGATATGTTTTTGATAAATTTAAATTGGGTTAATTTTGATAAAATAAAGTTCACTTATTGAGTTTTTTAAACATTTTTAAAAAAGATTTTAGCATGCTAAAAATGGTTGAGATACAGAACAATCAGCCATTGTAAGTTTATGTAAACGTTTTTTTTTACTTCTAAAGGTGTTGTTAGATCATGGAGCAGACCCTAGGATTCATGCAACAGACAATCAAAATCCTACAGAGGTGATGCTAACATTTAAATATTTTGATTATTTTATAGATCCACATTAAACCCTTTGAACCCTTAGCTTTTGATCTTAAAATACGCCTGTCTGCCGCGGCCCGGAGATTTAAGAAAAAGACAAAAAAAGCGGTTAAAAAGGGTTAAGACTATACAACTGATAAGAATAATATTACATGTAGATACAAGAAGATACCAGTATGCGCATGCAAAAGGACATATATTTTCTTGTTTTTCTTTTTAAAATATGTATCAAAACAAAAAACCATAGCTCAGTGAAATCATAAATTAATGCTTCTACAAAACATTTTCCTTTGTGGGAACAAAATCAAAAACATTTGTGCATGCTAGTACAAAACTATTTTTTCATTTTTATCTGAGCATAATGTAATGATAATTTTGATGTTATAAATATTGTGTTGTCCCTATCTGTTAGATAGCATCCACTCCTGCAGTAAAGGATGTCTTAGAAAAGTGGAATATAGAACGTACTGAAGCGCTGCTTAAATCCTTACAAGCTGTGAAAGATCAAAGAATGAAAGCTGAACAGTTGAAAAATGAAGCTGAGAAAAATAGGTTAGTCCTCAATTTAAAATTTTTTACACAAACCCCATTTTTAGAGAACAATGATATTTCATTGCAACAGTTTTATCAATGAATGCCTTGGACTCAGAGGATCTGTACACAGGCCTACAATTCAAAAGGTTCCCGTTTTTGGTGATTCAGGCAGCACTACTATTTCAGATAAATATAAAACACTTTGATCAATTTAAAAAAAAATTGTTTTCAATAATTGTCTGAATTAAAAATCTAAAAATAATTCTGAAAGATTTTTAAAAATTTAAATTTGCTTTTTACCTATTATCTTCACAATCCTATATATGATTAAAACTGTTTACAACAGGTCAGTTTCTATGTGTATGTCATTTTAATTTTTGATGAAAAATTTTCATAGACTGGAAAAAGTTCTTGAAGAGGCAGAAAAAGCTTATGATGCTAAAGTAAAACAGGTAGATATATGTATATATATATCTCTATTTCTATCTATATCTATCTATCTATCTATCTAGCTATATATATATATATATATATATATATATATATATATATATATATATATATATATATATATATATATATATGTGTGTGTGTGTATGTGTATACGTATACATATATGTATACGTATTCGTATACGTATACGTATATGTATATATTTATTTATTTATTTTTTACTTATGATGTTCATTTAGACAATAAATCACTAGGATTTTGTTTTTCACCGAAAATAAATTATTTATAAAAAAAAGGATTAGTAAAAAAAATTAAAATAAAGTTAAAAATAACTTTTTTTGTTACTTGTGGATATTTTCAGCTACAACATGCATACTGTGAATTGAACAAGCGAATTCATGAACATGATAAATGTCAAGCAGAAGGTTTTGCCAAACCAGAAATCACATTGCAGGTATGTATCAATTTACAGAAAATGTATCCACTTAACCTAATAAAAGTGAACATAAAAAAATGTATTTTAAAAAGATATATATTGGGCCTAAAAGGTGTGTTAAATAATTTTCAATTTTTTCAAATGCCTAAGTTGATTTCATATAGTTAAGAGATTGTAAACAGACCGACTGTTCAGTACACTTTGTGTAGACAAATTCACTGCTCTTTATAAAAATGCCATTAAAATCTATTTTTTCAACAGCTTTATACTTATGTATATTTTGGCTATCTTTATAAAGTATAAACTTGAGTTAAACATTTATGTATAATTAATTTTCATAGTGAATGTTTATTTTTAACTATTGTTTTCACAGGCTATTCATGATCAGGAGTTAGAAGTTGAAACTATTAAAACTGAACTAGAAACTGCAAAAAATAATTTGTCCAAAGCAAGACTAGCACTTAGGGAGTCAAAGAAAAGATGTGGTTTGTGCAAATGTTGTCAAATATTGTAAATAAGTAAATACATAATCTGAATGCTCTATGACTGTCACATTAAATTATTAAATATTACTTTAAAAACTTATTCTTTTTTAAATTATTAACCTTTCAGTTAAAGGATTTGAATTTGTTTATACTTATGTTTTGTTGTATTCCCTGTTTCTTTTTTTTTTCTTATTTAATTTGACTCTGGAATAGGGACAAGTTCTATAATTAATACAAATATAATGACTGAAAAATCCAGCTTATATATTAGAACCGTCTTTTAATTTTCAACAATTGCCTAATGAATATAAAGAATAAGTCTTAGTTTTTATAAAAGAGAAATCAATAATGGACAGAGAACGAAATTCAATCTGCAATGCAAAACTTATAATAATAGCCTTGTACATAGACTTACACAATTTTGAAAGTTGCACAGAAAATATTGACATAATTAGAAAGAACCTCAGATGAAGTTGCATTTGTTTTTGCCATTATTTTTCAAGTGTTTTGTAACACAGTATTTTTTAAAATGTTGTATTTATTTTTTAGTCTGAAAACTACCGATAGATATATATAGATATAGATATAGTTGTTATTTTGTTGATTTATAGTTGACTTTTTTAGAAAACAAAATAAAACAAATATTTGCAAAATAACTAAAACTGATGTAGCAACAATTTTTTTTACAAATGCTAAGTGAAATAAATGGTAACAGATTAGTTGGAATAAAATGTGATAATTAAAAAATAGTTGCCAAGCATTTTGTAAGCTATTAGCCAATGAACTGTGGTAATGGGGTAGCCACTATAATATTACAAAACAGAAATATACTAAAAATACCATATTTAAGTAATTTCTTAGCTTGCAACTGAAAAAAGATAGTTGTTAAAATGCAATCAAGATCTATTGTTTAGAGTATTGAAGCAAGTTTGGTAATAATTTTAAGTATATAACATCTTTGTTTAGGTTGGGTAGATTAAAATTAAAGTGAGGGAAATAATGATTTTTTTTTACAACCGTTACAGCCATGAATTGTTAGAAGTTACTTGTTTTTGTTGAGCATTAACCTAAGTATTGTTTTTTTATGTTTAAAATTGTTTTCTTGATTTGTTTTTCCCTCTAAAGTAATGAGAGCAACTAGTAGATTTGACTAAACCATTGTGTTATTTATTTTAAAATATCCCTTAGGTAGCCTTTTTACCTGACAGCCGTTTACTAAGTATTTATTGACTAATGGATGAGCTTTGTTCTAAAATTGAAATAAATTGTTCTTTTAAATGCGGAGAGGTCTAGTTTAATAGTTTTATAATAAATGGATTAAGAGGGAAGGGTGTTAGTTATTAATAAACAATGCATCAAAATGGAAATCAATATTTATCTTTCATTTTTATAAATCAGCCATACTACGATATATAGATGATATCGCCAATACCTTAGGGTTAGATATAGGATTTATTTTTGATATGCAGATTAGGCCTAGATTTTGTATGGTTAAAATTTAGAATAATTGATATCACACAGAAGGATTGAATACTTATATAACTGCATCAGCATGGCTGATCAACAGTAGTCTTTCTAATACTCTTTACAACTTGGTTTATAACTTTTATGGTTTTATAACTTGTATGGTTTTAAAACTTTTATGGTTTTATAACTTTTACTGTTTTATAACTTTTATGGTTTAATAACTTGTATGGTTTTATAACTTTTACTGTTTGAAGATGACGATGATGAGGATGATCTCCCTGGAATTAAAGTGATTGTAAAAGAGCTGGATGACGTATTATTTCGAGATGTTGGTAACAGACTCAAGCAATCTGGAAAGTGAGTAATGCCTCTCACTGATACCAAACATCATAAATATTTACCCCCAGAAAGCTATTTTTTAAAGAATTTTTTTTTCTAAAAATTCTCCTCTTATGAAAACTGAAGTTTTTTTTTTTTTTTAAAGAGTGCTGAATTATCTATTCTTTTTTTGAAATATATTTTTCTATATCAAAAACATTAATATTAGTGAAACAGAAAAGTGAAAAGTTCAAAATATTTACAATATATACATATTTATATATATTTCTTTAAGGTGGCCATTTATTATTGACCTGATGGGGCAAGCAACCACTTTCTTGCGTTACAGAGACACAAATTACATCTGCACCCTTAGGCCTTCAGACATGGAGATAAACAATATTAGAAGGTGCCTGCTGGGAGCCATTAGGTACTTACACACAAAATTATTTGGTTTTTACACAAAATATATTTTTTTAAAATGGGGTTGGCATTTACTCATCACAGATTCCTTTATTTTTCTGTCTTGATCAATTTCTAACTATATAATTTTAGATATAGCTCATCTTGTTTGCCCAATGCCGGTTGATGTGTTTGCAAACAGTGTGCACCATTCAACCAATCCTTCTCCTTATTTTCTCCTTAGCAGGAGATTAGCAGGTCATTGATTAAAGTTACTGTTGGTGTGAAACCAGCTTACTTTATTTTTAGCTTTATTATTGATCAATCAGAGCCAAACATATTTATTTATTTGTCTGATTTCTTTGTTTAGATATGGGAAGATTTTGATTCTTTTTGTCTGGTCTCTTTATTTAAATGAAAGAAGATTATTATTTTTTTAGTCTGATTTCTTGGTTTAGATATGGGAAGATTTTTTTTTATTTTGTTTAATTTCTTTTTTTTTAGAAATGGGAAGATTTTACTTTTTGGTCTGATTTTTTTGCTTAGATATGGGAAGATTTTTATTTTTTTGTCTGATTTATATGTTTAGATATGGGAAGCCATTTATTTTTTGTCTGATATCTTTGTTTAGATATGGGAAGCCATTTATTTTGTGTCTGATTTCTTTATTTAGATATGGGAAGCCATTTGTTTTAGACATGATGGAAGTGGACATGTTTGACACATGTGTTGACAAGTTTGATGAGGTGTCCAAAGGTTTGATGGCCAGCATCATGGACAAGTCCATTCTAAATGAAGAAAAGTAAGGAACAAAATGCAACATCTTAATTTTAAAACTCTAATTTAGAAGATTTTTAAAAATTATCTAACACATTTCTTTTCTGTGTTGCCAGAAATACATTTTTGCAAGTTTTTAATGCTTATTGCATCCATCTATTATGGGTGGAAGCTTGTCAAAATTTTTCACTCACCATTACAAAACAATTTTTTTTTAAGCTTGTAATTTAGATCAAGATCCAATGACAATGCAATGAGACTTAAACTTTAAACTAATTATATTTGTAATTGATGTTTAAAAAAATTACTAAAAAAATTAAATGTATCTAGTACAACTAAGGTCATGCTTTTATATACACTCATTCATTGGGCTCAATTGATGTATAATTTCTTTTAGTTATGCCATTTTCTTGATACTAAAATATTTATAACAAGCTTTTATTTCAAATGATTTAAAAAATGTATAATAATGCACCACTATTTTTATAAAACTATAAATAAAAGCATAAATTCGAAGTAAGAGTATTTAGTAGCCTATTAATTTTAAAACTATCCACTTTCATCAGTATTTTTTTTACTATAAAATCCATGGTACATTATATAGATATTATCATTTGTAGGCCTATTTTTGTTTACAGATGTTCCTGCCAATGTCCAAACTTTTTCAATACATAATATAGCAACCCACAGCTTTTTATATATATACATAACATAGTGGAGCATTATTTTATTTAAACTATATTAATTCAGGCTGTTTATTTTACACAGTTGTACACATTTTTAATAATAAATTGTACTTTTTAACCATGTTGTTGTAACTGCATGGACAAAAACACACGTTATTTTCAAATGTTATGACTAATCGATAAATGAAATCCATAATATGATAGCAACAATTTTTTGTTTTAAACTATTAAATTAAAATTTCTTTCTTTAGGTACAGCAAGCTGATAAAACCCACTGATGGGCCTGATTATGAGAAAACAAAGTTCAATGACCTGCGGATCTCAAACTTTCTTTTTATACTAGTGACCAAAAACCCTTTCCCAAGTGTTAAGCTGCTGGAAGCAATGTATGTGATCAGGGTAGTTGTTCCAGTATAATACATGTAAAACTGTTGTAAATATTTGTAAAAATGTGTATACACTTACAAAATTTATATTATTATAAGAATATTTACACAATTTATAGAAATGAAATGCAGCATATTTTGTTTGTTTTCCCTGATTTGCAACAAAAAAAATATCTTTTTTTGTTTTTTGAGTTGTTTTATAAACATCATCTTAGATAAATTGTGTCACTACATTAGATTTTCTGTATGTAGGTGATCAAAGTTAATTTATTGATTTTAATTTAATTTAAGCATGTAAGTTTTATTTATGGTATAAAGATAATTCAATTAGAGTAAAAGAATGTAAACTGTGACCAACTCCAGTATAGCTCTGCTATTGCTACACTGTGTCAACAGCATTAACCAATCATCTGAAAGTTTGTCATCACAGTTTATAAAAAAATTTAGTAAAAGAATGTAGGTAGTTTAAATAGTATAAATAATTAAATTTACCAGTGGCATGGCTAAACATTTTGATTTATTTTACTCACATATTTAAATTTTTAGAAAAAAATTATTTTTTTCTAGATTTGCATTGGTTTCATTTAGATGATATGTGTGCAGTTTTTATTACCTAATCAGCATTGAACATTGTCTGCCTTCTTAACATTATTACCTACTGTAAAGTACTAAAATTAAAACACATGAGCAAGTCTTCAACCATTGCTATTTAGTAGTTTTATTTTTTTAATTGACATAAAAAACTACATGTATAAGTTTTTAAATCACAGTCAACCATTCAAGTTACTCACAACATAAACAAAGTCATGGTAAAACAATGGGGGTGATGAGTGAGCAGCTAAAACACAATTCATTAATCAAAAACACAAGTGAATAAAAGAATGTACATTAGCTGTGATACTTTAAAATTATCTTAATTCATTGATCAGAAACTTCAGTGAATAAAAGAATGTACATTAGATGTGAAGCTTTAAAATTCTCTTAATTCATTGATCAGAAACTTATTTGAATAAAAGAATGTACATTAGGTGTGAAGCTCTAAAATTCTCTTAATTCATTGATCAGAAACTTATTTGAAAAGAATGTACATTAGGTGTGAAGCTTTAAAACTCAGCTGAACAGCATTCGTGTCTTTAAAAACCTTGTAACACATCAAATATTACAGGCCAATTTGTTTTAAAAAAACTGAGTGTTTCATGGATAAATTATTTTAAATGTTAAATATTTCTAGATTAAAGTTGGGCAGTAATTAGTAGCTTTAATTTAATTCAACTATTTTTTACACTCTTGCATGAGTTAAAACATTTTAAAATAATAAACTTTTTATAACATATTTAAAATCCTGCACCAAGTAAAACCATTAAAAAATAAAATTTAGCTCCAACTATTCTTTATGATAGGTATTGCACAAAATGAATAAAACTTGCTAATCAATTATACTCTTCATGCAAACAATGCAGTCACTAACTGATAAGAAAAATATTTTCAATTACTCTTTTGAAATATTATAAATATCAAAAGCACAGCAATAAAGCTGTATTTATATATCAATGAATATGCTATACATACAACTAATCAGGGCAACTCTGAAGTTGACACTGGTACAATCAGAGCTATATGGTTATAGCAGATAAGAAAGTCTAGACACAGTTATCTACATTTCATCTAGGTATAAAATTGAAACAGTTAATAGTCAAATAAAACTGGAAAAATAGTTTTTTCAATGTTTTTTCAAGCAACGGTGCATAAAAAATGTAGTTTTGTTTTTTGATTTCTGTCGACAGAATGACAGTGTGACTCTTGTATGTACAACAAGAAAAAAAAAACAAACCTAATTAGCTTGATTTGGAAACGACCTCTAAAATTATATATTTTTGTATTTAAAAATTTTAAAGTAGAAACAGAAACAACAAATTTAAATTGTTGCGCTTCAAGAATGAAACCCGTCAAGTTGACCCATTTTTAAGTACATTTTTTAAAAAATGACTGAGGTGTCATCTTTTTAAATACCTAGGTTTTGCACAGCTATTGTTTTAAATACCTGAGCATTGTGCGCCTATTTTTTAAAACTAAATCCAAATTCCAAATTGTTTATCAAACAAATACCTTTGGTTACTTAGAATAATTTAAGCCTTACAGATAAATGGTTATCTGTAAGCAAAAGAAGACTAGGATGGCAAGTGAGACTAACCAAAATAAAATACAAGGAATGTTTTGCTGAAATGCCACATCCACTAAAGAAAAACATTTAAAAACAGCTTGGGTCAGCTAGTGTTGCTCTACGTCGCTTAGCTGGGAAAAAAAACAAGATTATAAAAATCACAGGGGAAACATGATCTGCAGAACACATTATAAAGAAATAAAATACATCCAGGTTATTCCTCCAGGTAATAACAGTAAATGGAACACAATTTATGGGAATAACATCAAAAGAGAAAGTAAATATTTGACAATTAATTTAAACCATTGACTAACATAAACTTAAAGAAAGATAAGCACTGAAGATACCTTGTCTAATAATCATAAGTTATAATAAAAATAAAATTGTATATTTCTCTACAAGTTACAGAGATTTACAACACTGTTGAAGTGAGCTTTTCATAGAAAAATTACAAAGTGAAATACATGTTAACTGAATAAAACAATTGTTAACAAAATAAAGTGATATGCATGTACCATATTGATGCAGTTGACTGTTTCATTTAAAATAGAATTGTACTGCCAACACTGAACACACACCCAGCTTCCAATGATTAGATATTATAATAATTAATAATTATAAAATTTTATCAATATTGTGTTCAACTAGTGTAACAAAAAATGCCAGCAAAAAGAAAAAAAAATCAACATAACATGAATAACTTACAAGAACTTATTAAGATAAAAACAAAGTCACAAATTACATCCAAATGGCAAGGTTGTTCATACACAAAGATAGACTTTAAAATATAGCCGTAAACTACATATCTGTCCTCACTCACCAAACTAAGTCTTGCAGTTATATCAGAGGATGGCCATTTCAGGAAGGAAATAAAATTAAACTTTAGTCATATCACTAAATATGATAACTATTTATAATAACAGTCAATCAATAATAAACTGTGACTATGAATTTCAAACATTAAACAGATGAAAAATAAATAAGACTAGTTTTTTTTTTAAATATGAAACAAAAACAACACAAGTGACATACTGATTTGGTGTAAGTACTTGGCATTGCACATATCCCTGGTGCCATTATAGTATATTAAAAGAACCCTGTTTTGATTTTTCAACAGTTATTTTTCAAACTAACTTTAAATAGCAACTTTTTTAAGAATCATGTTTCCCATTGTCTGTTCTCAAGAACAACCCATCTGTTAAAGTAAGTTTTTCATGAGATCAATAATTAGAAAACAGAAATACAGGTATGCAATTATTCAGAAGCAAATATTTGTTTCATATAATGAGACAATTGCTTTGACATTTAAAAAAAATTACTTTAAAAAAAAATTAATCAGTTAGCAGCATAGACCTTAAAATACAAATATTATGAATGGGGCATTTTACTGACAGTGCCGCACATGGAATTCATTAACAGCAAATAAAAAAAAAAGGAATGTTACAATTAAAATGATCTTCACTACATCCTACTTGGTTTAAACATCTGCTATATAAATTATATCTTTAAAAAAATCTTGTAGTTTGACACAGCATGAATAGTATTGTAGTTATTTACGGCAAGGATGGATCATGATTTTCAGTTAAAGCAGCTGTTGAGGGTAGTTGAATATGGTCTTTGTTCTGGATTGTTCTGATGGTGTTTTCCCAAATGGTCAAACACTGTAAACAATGGGTCAGAAAATAATATTTTTAGAACAGGTTTACAATTTTAGTCTCATTACAAAGTAATATCTTTTTTACAAAGATTAAATTGATTTTCTTTAAAATAAAAAAAATTGTCTGTTAATTATTTATAAGGATCTACATAATATCCATTTCAATTACTTGTGATCATTTTTTAAAGAAGATGGGGTAAAAAATCTTTTTTTAATAATGATTTTAAAGCCAATCTTTAAAGATATAGATAATAACTGGCAAATTTCCCAAACCTTTTCATAATAAGCAATCTGCAAGTCAGCCATACACATGAAAGTTTCCCTCAAATCTCTCTGCTTGTGCTTATGCCATCTTTCCATATCAGCCTTCAAATCAGCATTGGCTACCACTGTCTTGTCATTCAAACTCTCCATCTGCCTGATTAGCTGCAGACAAGATTTTAAAATTAATCACCAACACTAAAACCTCTGTTTTGTTGTTTAAACTCTTCATTTGTCTAATTAGCTTCAGACAAGATTTTTAAAATAAATCATCAACATAGATTACGACTGTTTTATTGTTTAAAGTTTTTTATCAGTCTGATGAGATATAGATAAAAAGTTTAATGATAAAATATTAAAGGGTTTGTCATTCAATTTTTCCCAAGGCAACCGGATACTTGAGTTATGCACTTCACTTTAAGTTTAGCACTTAAATTACAACCACTTCAGCTTAATATTCTCTAAACCATGTCCGGTTGTAGAGAAAAAGGGCATTTATTGATGATAAAAATTATTTACCTCACAATAGGAAAAAATCAATTAAAACTAAATAACTATCCACAATGCACATTTTAAACACAGACTATATATAATTATTTATATAGATATAACTTGATTATTTCATCAGCCTAAAGTAATAAGTTTTTAATAGCCCATACAATTATAACTGATCAGACAATATTGTGGACTTACATCAGATATCTGCTGCTCAAGTTTTTCATGTTTCTGTTGTTTGACATCCTCTGGATCTTTCCCCAAGAAGGCTCCAATTGAGTAGGTTTGATCTGAGCATTTGATCTATGCCAATAAAACAAAATATTTAAAATGTTTTACAACTGGAACAAAAAAAAATTTTCTGTACCAAGACTTAGTTACAACTTATTTTTTACACTATCATGCTTGCTTACTCATAAATGTATCCCTTGCTGAAAAATCCCTTGATTTAAATTCTAATAATGGGAGACTTATTGCCAATTGGTCTAATATTTGTGTAATAAATAATTTGCTTCATAAATTTTTTTAGGCAGCAGTTTCTTTGAAAGAATTCCCAATAAAAATTAAAATGTACACCTAAAGGCATACCTTGTTACCATGCTGAGAGTTTATAGCACAAAGTTGATAAAAAAAATTTTCTCAACTTTGTATCATTAACATCTTTTCCCATTTGTACCCAAGTTATTTGGGGCAGATGAAGTAGAGTACATCTGCTTTAGAGAACTCAGCACATGAAGGGATAGTGTGGTCAGTACTATGCCCAGCCGCCTTTTTTTCCATAACGTGAGTTAAGTACTCATCAAAGCTGGGGGGACAGGGGCATTCTTCTGACTTGAACCCGGATTCAAACTTGAGACTTTCGGGTTAGCAGTCTAGCTCTCTACCACTAGACTATGCTGCCTCATCAACTTTGTATACTTAGTTGTAATAAACACAGTCCCATTTTTCAAGTACTCCCCATTCATTTAGTTCAAACTATTTTCATGGAAACAAACCAGGAAGCAAATAACCAGCATGGACTTACATTCTCTTTCTCTTCCTTGCGTTTCCCAAGCTCATCCACAACCATATCATATTGGTTTTGTATAGCATCTCTTCTTCGTAGAACAGTCTAGCAAAATTATAAAAACACAATTTGTTATGTTTTTCAAAACATTTATAATAAAACTGACGAAGTAATCTGATGGAAATAAACATTGCAATTAGGAAATTACAATACCACATTCACTCAAATACGAAAGGCAACTAAAAGCAAAAGATTTAATCAATCACCTTAATACACTCTGAGTATAGCAGGTACTCCTTTAAGGGTTGAGCAAATCTTGAATCTGTGTCATCAATCTAATGGAATAATTATTTGATTTTACAAATAAATTATTTGCAATTAAATTTAAAATCAAGTTTGAGAAAGAATGTTTAATTATGAAATACATTTTTTAGTTATATTTTTTTTTCTAGATAAAAAAAAATTACATAGTTTTGTAAATGATTTTCTTTCCAAAAAAGTTTATTTCACATTAATTCATTAAAATGTCAGCTAAGTTAGAATTTCTGTAAAAAAATTGACATCAATTAAAATAAATTAAAAGAAAGATAAAAGGCATCCACTGGCCTAACACCATCTGTAATGATAGACTACAAGGAGAGATGGAAATGCAAGTAGTTTCCGAAATTATTGATGGGGGGCACGTCTTAAGAATGAATCCAGATGATATCGCGATAATGAGCTAAACTGGACACCTCAAGGAAAAAGAAAATAGGGAAGGCCAAGGGAGACATGAGGTACATGGTGGTAAAGCAGGTGATAGAGGCAGGACTGTCTTGGGGGGCTGCCAGGAAAAATGCCAGAGACAAACAAAAGTGGAGGGAGCTCTCTCTATCGGTCCCATGTGTCTTGAGCACAAAATGGAAGAGATGATGCTGACAATTATAATGAGCACAAACCAAGTCTTTAACAGCCTTGACACATTCATCAACTGCCTTTGACATTGTGAGCAATGCACCAGTCAGCTGGTCCTCTGAGTTAGCCCACAGTGTGTAGCAGGGGCCCCATTCCAAAAGCTCAGCCATGTAATCTGAAAGTAAATAATACCATCCTAATCAAGAATTCAGCAAACTGTGTGATAAAAAGGTGGTGAACATTTGTTTTTTAAATCCACAACCCAAATATTAAGAGTTTAAATCTTGCAATTTCAACCTTAATCTAACATTTCCCATATTGCATTAAGGTCATCTGATACAAGTAGTGGAAAGTTAGGTAAATGAGCTAATACAACACAATCGAATTATACCAGATCAAAACAACACAATTTTTAAAATATGTAAGCACATTTATATATAAAGACTATGCAAACCACACATATATATATATATATATATATATATATATATATATATATATATATATATATATATATATGGACAAACCCCACATTTATTTATATATTGACTACACAAACCCTTAACAAAAGACCATTGCATCACATGTCCATATCTACTAACATAAAAATTTCTCAGGGTAAACCACTTCAATCCTTGACTTTCAATCAGGATCTAAAATGGTCACTTCCCCATAGCTATGTTATTTCCCCCAAAATTGCTCATACTGTGGTAATAAAATGTTCCCCACTTGAGTTTTCAAGGACTCTACAGTGTGTACAACATATAACACACATGCAGTCCAGGGACCAACAAGTCTGTAGTGAGTAAAACATATATCAATTTACATCCTCAATCAGACCATCAGTGACTGCATGATAAATGAGTTGTGGACTAACATTCCCCTACTAGGAACAATACAGACAAGTTGTACGCAGTTTCAAGTAAGTAGGAATGAATACATATATATATATATATATATATATATATATATATATATATATATATATATATATATATATATATATTTGCTCTTAACAACTCAGATACTGCTTGAAATACATAAAGTTAATTTTATTTTTATAAAATATGTTCGAGTTTAGTACTGCAGTAACTTACTATAAAAATAAAATAATTTAACCAAACAACCCTATTAAAAAGGTATCTAAGGAAAATAATCCTCACAAAAAATATAACTAAAGGATATGGATTCTTCAATGTAAATATAACAAGTATTATAGTTTTGTGTCATCTGGATAGATTCTATAATGGAATTGTGTGATAGCTCAATGCCACGTACTTAGAAGATGTCTAGCATTCAAGAGAGAAACAGTGCTTTATCTAGTATTTCAGGATAATATAAAGTTGGAGCTTCAGACTAGAAACATTCTCTTGACCATACATTCACAGGTGTTATTATTAGAAAAAAAAATGAACAATAAAAACTGTGTTGTGAAGAATGAGCCCATTAGCAATGTAGTTTTTTTTTAAAATATTTTATAAAAATGTATGATTAATTAAAATATTTTTTGTGTAGATTTAATAATGTCATGCAGCAGAACACCCCGGGTACAACCAAAGGCCAAGCCACAGGAGTTTCACCCTTGTTCTGAGGAAATCTACTGCAACAGCCCAACCTCACAGGACGGGGACTTGGGCCAGGCTCCCCCACCACCAGACAGGAATAAAAGCTCCATAAAATCGGCCAAGTCTGACACCAAAGCTCGTCAGAAATCTGAGGCTCCAGAGGAGTGTTACAGTGGACTTGATGCTACACAAGGAGACCCTGAAGATTACTACGAGGACCAACAAACTCTTAATCAACAAAATATCTTCAAAGATCAGATGACTTCTAAGGAAGAAGTCACACTACAAAAAAAGCAGACTTTAAATGAACAGCCTCCAGTATTGAAAACTACAGAAAAAATTGAAGAAGCTTGCAAAGTTGGTACACATATAAAAAAAGAAAATGGCATTCTAAACACTTGCCGCAGGAATTCGAAACAAATTTATAAAATAATTGGCCTGGTTTTTCTCATGTTTGTTGCCAGTGTTATTGGTGGTCTTATTTCTGGAGCAATCATGTTAAATGGTGTAAACACTACACAAGAAAGTGAGAATACACCAACACCAAGTTTTAACACAACTAACAGTACAGGACAAACTTAAAATCTTCTACAGGACCCCATTCAAAAAAATGTTTCCATTAGATAAATCTAATTTTACCATGAAACTTACTCAAAAAGAACAAAAGCAATAGAACTTTGAAATGGACAAACTATTCAAGTTTTATGGACTAAAAATGTGCATCGAGCTGGTGAAACCTGAACAAGGAAAACACAAAGTGGGCAAAATGATATACCAGCTGTGACTCTGACACATGAACTATTATGCACATTTGCCAACTTTCTTTTTTACATACTTGAATGTAAAGTAATAAAAATCCAAAGCAAACACCGTTAAAGCTAAAATGACATTTACATCTAACTGTTATGAGAAAAAGGGACATTTTATATAATTGCAATAACTTAATAACGAAAAGAGATCTTTCAGGCTATTTGTGTAAAAAAAAAAGACTGTTTTGTCGAGAAAAGATATCCAACTTGCCATTTTGTTCTTTGGACACCCTCTGGGAGATCCTGTCCATGACCCCAAGTTTGTCAGACAGTAAAGTTATGTAGTCATGCATCACAGCAAACTCTGGAGGCCTGTTCTTCATCATGTAGGAAGCTGACATGTTGTGGAGGGAGTCAGAGACTCTGCTTAGGAAACCTGATCCTTGTTTTTTATGAGCTTGAAACTCCTGCAAGGAACATGTGTAAGAGTGGTAACATGGAATGGAATAATATTATACAAAGTTAAACCACATTTTTTTTAGTTTAACTTGGACTGGAATTTTAACTTTTTTAGTTCTTTAAATATATTTTTTACAGTTATTTCTAGAATATTTAGTCATTATCATAAAAACTAATCACTTTTTAAATGTTTTTTATTTTGTGTTACAGATTGCACAAATTATTCAGTCTAACATTTAATAATGAAGTTAAATTTTTTTTTTAACTATTGTTTAAGTTCTAAAGAAGTTTATAGCTTTCCCAATAGAATATAATTTTTGAGATGTTTATTTCTAGACATACAATGGAGCTTCTGATTTGTGGTGTAGATAAACACTTCTGCATTCAAAACTCCGGTTTACTTTTCTAAGAATTAGAATGCATAGGAATATTTTCCCTCTCTCCCCTAAGCTAGGTTCTAGGTAGAGAATTTATGGTTATAATTTGAAAGGTCATCTATTTAATTCAAGAAACACAAATTAATGGGTATTTAAGTTATATCTGATTGCAAATAATTAAAGATGCTACAATGAACAGTTATTTTGATAACAAATTAACTGATAAATTAGCTTGTAAAATTATTATAGAATGTAATTACCCAAGCTTTTGCAGTGAGAAATATCTGGAAGCACTTGTCAAATGACAAAACTGGATGGTCAGCCAGTCGAGTAAGAAATTTCTGAAGAGCAGCTTGGCGCACCCGAAGGAATTCAGTGCTAAAACGATCCAGTCTCTTAAGGCTGTGTTTTTCTGGAAGAGGCTGTTCAAAACAAACATTGAAACAATCAACATTTTTTTTCATAATATTATGACTCTTACATGCTTTTAGTTGAATAGGAAATGATTTAATTATTTTCAAGTTTTAATTTTTAATATCTGCACTAATGATGAGTGTTCAAATAATTTATTTATTACATCTACTTTGTATTTTTTTCTTTATATTTTAACAAAGTATTAATAATAAAGTATTAGATTTTATTAAATTATTGTATTTTATTAAGACTTTAAAATTGACTTATTAATTTGTAAGGCATTAAAAAACTGTCATTAGTGTCATAATGATTAATTGAAATGTTTTACAAAATGGCATTTTATTTCAATGGTACTTTTTTTCAAAATTGTTTTGTAAACATTCTTGGATTCCAAATCAAATATGAAATTATAAACGTACTGGGACTAAATGAGTGGGATGTTTCTCTTCAAGTCTTTGACGAATCCATAGAAAATCATTGTAGCGCCTACGAACGCTGAATTCTGTACCTTCAAATTCTGGTCTAGAAGTCTAGAACAAATAAAATATTACAATTGGCTCCTTTCAATTTACTAATATAATGTTAAACTAAAAAAACTTGTATCCACAAAAAAAATTTTAAAATATGCAGGCCATACCTTGGTAGTAACTCTAAAAGTTATATATGCTTCTAGAGTACTGGTATGTTTTTCTGGATCATCAACCACAATAAACAAGTCTCTAGTTTCACCATCATAATCATCATCAAGGCGAAAGTTGGCGATAAGGCTTGAGCTTCGAGACACTGAACCTTCTTCTGACTTGGCAGATGCCTCAAGATCAAGACTTTCCATCTGAAATAATAACAATGACAACTTGAAAGTGGTTGGACTATAAATTGAGTAAATGAGTCAATTAATCGCCACATCTACATGTTTATTAGCAAATAAATCTGATGATATTTTATAACAATACACTAAATATGCAGCTAAATAATTTTATTTGATACCAACCCTATCTACAACTCATCAAAACTATGTTTGAAAATATCAGACTTAAGCCTAATATAAATAATTTTGTTTTGTGTATGTAAGCCTACCTACACTCTACTTTTTTATGTAAGCTTATTTTGAAATTATATTTCAGTAGTTGTGCAATTCAGTACAAAATCATGAGAGAAGTGAAGATTTAAAGTTTTAAGTTCAGCGCATACAACAGAGGGATGAATATCAAATTGACATTATCAAAACTACAATTAGGATATAATTAGACTTAGCCTAAGTAACACTGAATAACACTAAAAGTTGAGTTCACAGTTAAGCGAAGTCTTTGTTTACTTTGTACAATCCAACAGTGCAGGCAGCAGTGTGTAGTACTAGTAGTTAGTAGTAGTGGAGTAGTCACTGGTGACTGTGAACTATAGGGTTGTACTACAACTTGTAGATTTTAGGGATGATTTTAGATACCGATGTCCGATAATTAATAGTATAGACTCTTCCATAAAATAGGTGTGTTGGGACCAGTTGGGTTGTTTTTTGTGAGTAGTATTGAATTGTAATCTCAACTAATTGTATGGTTAGAAATTAGCGTTAGGCGTATGGTTGGACTAGGGGTTGAGGTTATATAGGGACAGGGTTAGCATTGACATTTGCCAGCAATCACTGCTGCAATGTGTGTTTGCTTAGTTAACTACCAGTGAGTAACCTACATGTCGTCACTACAAAAAAAATTCACTACATGATTTAACATCCCTTTTTTTAAAGAAGAATCTATTATCGGACACTGGTATACAAATTCCCCCGTAGTTTAGCTTAGGGCATTTCAGGCTAAATTGTATCTAGATCTACCTAGATTCTAGATCTCTAAATCTACAACAAAACAATAGGCCTACCTACAACAATCATGACAATGTTTTTATTTTTATTTTAATTGTTTTTCCTCGGTCTGGGTTTTTAACTTTTTAAGACGTTTTATTATTTTTAATAATGTTAAAATATTACGATATCTCAGCTTACCCCATCATCGTCGCTGTCTTTATCAAGGCCTGTTAAAAGTGGATCTTTAAATTTTATCTTTTCATCCGAAACTGATTTAGGAGAAACGTTATCATCATGTTTGAGATCATCGATAGATCTCACAGCAGAGGCAGCCATTGTTGTTGAATAGTGATGTCTATTTGTACGCCAACGTTATTTGTCCGGTCTCCATAGGCCATAGAGGCCTATGATAATGAAGATAATTTGAATGTACAGAATTTTTTTCGGAAATATTAAATATGGACGAATCTAGATCTACATCAATATCTAGATATCTAGGCCTACATGTTTTTGTCCAAATTGGATATTTTGGGAAATAGTGGTAACTGATACCTATTAGTTTAACACCTTGGGGGAGAAGGGGGTGGGGGGTGGGCTCGTTTGGGGGCAGTGTTTCTTCCAGACTTTTTTCTCCGGGGGGGCACTTGAAATTTTCGGGGGGGGGCGGTAGACTTTCTTCGGGGGGGGGGGGGGCGGACACTGTTAAAAGTATATATTTTCTGTATAAATTATATAAATTTCATTTCGTTCGGGGGGGGGGGGGGCGGTAAAAAATGTTCGGGGGGGGCGAAGCCCCCCCGAAGAGATGCCTGGAAGAAACTCTGTTTGGGGGAGGTGGGTCGGTTATCCATTTATTCGTCTTTTGTTTAACATATCTACACCATATCCTGTCTTTTGTGCGTCTTTTTACACAGCAGAAAATCGCCTTTCAAATTTCGAATGGAAACCGCCCATAATTATTCATAGAACTCAATTAGATGATTCAGAATAGATGCGGAAAATAGTTTTTTTTAATAGATCTACATCTGGAGCCATATGATTGTCCATATGATCGTGACTCGGATCATAGTATTTTCAGTCTTTCTCGCATCAGGTGGCAAAAAAGCATGTTTTAAGCAATTGGATATTCGGTAACATTTGTATCCATAAAATTGGATAGACATATGCTAATTCCTTACTAGATCTACTCCTATCTACTTTGGCTAGTGGGGTCGACATCCATAACTGACGTCACATTCCTGGTAGGAACGGGGTCATCCATAAATGATGTTAAAAATTGGTACTTTTTTGTGACGAGGTGAGGGTTTAGAAAAAATAATTCGCAAGTATAGACTCTAGGCCTACATGTTCTGTGGGAAAAATATTTTCATCCAACATAGATCTAAATCTACTTGTTGTGTGTGTGTGTGTATGTGTGTTTACCCTAACCATCACCTTAACTCTAGAATCTACTGCTGTTTAAAAAAATATGGAAATTACATTGGGTGGAGCCCTTGTCCACCCAAAATAAATATTATATAAGCACTAGTATGACGTCATTTTATGCTGGATTTATAATGATGACGTCTCACTCTTTTTCAAGCACTAATTATTAAATTAATTGTCTTACTTTTAAAATATTAACTAGGCCTACCATCTCTAAATATTAATTTTTAGCATACGGTCTCTTTTTAACCTGGTCACTTAGTATTTTAACTTTCGTTTTCCCTCAGGCATTTAAAAATCTGGATTCACATTGGCTTTGAATAGAAATTTTTGTGCCTTGTTCTGTAGCACAATACACATATAAAATTATAAAGTAGATCTAGATCTAGATCTAGATCTATATTTCTAAATAGAGTAATATCTAGATACTAGGTCTTATTAAAATATATATTGTAATGTCATTGTCACACACACCAGCAGCGGTTGTAGGCGTGGGAAATCAAAATCAAGGTGAGTAAAAAACCCACACTGACGTACGACGTACTGACGTACTCAGCAGTAGATTCTCTACTGTACTAACTCATTCACTGAGCTGTTGTTTACTCATTCACTGAGCTGTTGTTTATCTAATTATTAACTAGGCCCTAATTATTAATTAATCTAATAATTGTCTAATTCTAATCTATTAAATCATCATTCAAGTAATTGTAATCTAATTCTAAAAATCTAATCTGTATTTCAACTATTTGTTCTAAGAATCTAATCTCTAGGCTATGAGTACTAGATCTAGTCTAGTATGTAGTGTACTGTGTGTAGAGTGTAGAGTAGACTTCTAGTGTAAACTCTTAGACTAAAAATAAAAAATCATAGACTTACTGGCTCAACACTGTAGTCAGTTTTCTGTAGACACGTAAGTCGTAGGACGTAGAAGTAGAGTGTGTAGGAGTAGATCGACCAGAGTCAGCGACAGTGTGTGAGCGTGTGTATGTAACGTAACTGTACTGTTGTCCAGTGTGTGTAGTGAGTAGTGTAAGTAAAGTTGAAGTTCATCATAATAATCTATATAATTATATATAATTCTCTACATGGGGACCATACGAGACACCACCAAGTAAGGGCTTAGCAGTTCCTACTCCGCTCTCTAGGCATATCCCTACCACCCCCACAGTCTGGTGAGCTGTGGTTCACGCCAAATTTTTACAATCGTAGAGCCGGGTTTAGTGACGGCTATCAGGGGCAGATAATTTAGTTTTAAACGATTTTAAACTTAGGGCGGAAGGTAACTAAGAGGAGCCTGCTTTCACGGGGGGAGGGGAGGTTTTTTTTTATCGTCCTTCACGAGCTACTGATAGTGTTTTAAAGCAAATTATTTCAATCGCAGCATTGGTAGTGTTGAATTAACAAATTATGAATTACTGAAAGTGGAAAGTAAACTAAATAGCGGTGTATGCTACGCCGCTGGTCAGCTGGTTGATATTATTTAAATTGACATTGTAGTGTAGTGACCGTTTAGGTTGAGTTAGAGTAGTGTATACTTATTATTGTAGAGTAGAAGAGTGTAGTAGTGTAAGTAGATGGTATTGTAATAATATCTTAAGTAATTTAGGCCTAGTAATAAAAATTAGTAAGACTTAAGAAGTTTACTGTTATGTTGTAGGACAGAAGTCTAAAGTAGCCCTATAAGGAAAATCTAGTAAGGACTGTTGATCTACGTACTACGTAAATATACTAATAAGTCTATTTGACTAGATCTAGTGAGAGTTATAAATGAGAGACAATCACTGTTTTTCTAGATCTTGCAGCTTATTTCAAATAATGTATTAGTTATTAGATGTAGTAGACCTATATCTATATTTATTAAATTCTATCACTTAGGCCCAAGTTGAAGTATTACTAGTAAGTAGGCCTACTTAAAATTTAAAAGAAAATGTTTAGGTTATAATATAGCCTAATTAATTAATTTAATAATCACATCGAAGCTCAGAATCTGATAAAAAAAAACTCTCTTCTAAGTGCAGCTAATCAGTGTGAGTGGTCGGGAGCAACATCAGATGAAGACATCAATTTCAGAATATACTTAGTCCAACAAATATTTGCTTATCTAAATCTTAGACCTGTCTGGAAAACAGCACATATCTCTAACAAAAGTAGATTAAAAATCTATTAATTCAATGTTTAAACACTTCTGCCGTATGAATCCAGGACATGGAGAACAATAGAGACAACAATAGATAGAATACAGACTTTTATAAATAAATGTCTAAGATATTGCATTTTGTCTGGAAGGGGATTTCCTGACTGCTACTGCTAGTCTTGCTCAAGCTCATCATTAGTTTACTAGCTCATAGCCTTCCCTTTCTTCTCCAACTTGATCCATGTCCAAATAAAATGGGTGACATTTTAATTTGTTTTAATGTAAGGAATACACGTTTTTTGTGGCGATTTTCTAAATAAAACTCAATCATCGGCTCAAGTTGATTGTCTTAGTAAACTTAGATAAATATAAAATCTGCACATCTCTTAATGCTTTCACCATAAATTCTATATCATTCTTGTGAACATTTCTTTTCTTAAATTTTACTTTATTTATAATAAGTATTTTTAGTCAGGTCCTTTAGATTCAGTAAAATTAGTTGTGCTACCAGTTTTTGTACCTCATGCTTAACGAAATCGTGAAAAGCAAATAAGGACTGGATAGATTGTGTTTATACCATTTTTAGGAAATTTTATTATGGGAATAGCCAACAAATATCTTACATTTTTAATAGGCCTATATACATTTATATTTATTCACTTTTATTATCTTACAGAACGTCAGAATCGCAAGATATTAGAGCATCTTAAAGAACAGAAAAAAAGATTGCAGCATGGTCAAAACAGCAGGTAATTTTTATTAACTTCTGAAGCCAAAATACCAAAATAGTATAGCATAAGGTGTATCTGTTTTGCTTAAATAAATGGTAGCATAGATTTTTACAAAATTAATATTGAAAGTATAGAATCCGAAATGTAGGATTGGGGTAATTCTATTATTTTAACAAATTTACTCATGTCATTTTAAAAAGTTTATTAAAGATAAAAAGTGTTTTACCTCAGAACAAAAGCTTATCTAATTTTAACTCAGTTTCTACTGTTTTTTTTTTTAATAACATTTGTGTTAAATGTTAAACTTAACATTGTTTCTGTTCCCTCCAGCTCTATAAGTGTTCCCCCTGTTCCTATTCTCACAAGTACTCCTGCAATGGTGCCAGCTGGTGTAAGTATTCACTTTCAGCTAGATCTGTTTTGATTAGGGATTTATCCATGATTTACACAAATGTTTTTCAAAACTACAGTAATTCTGTTATGATTTAGAAAGAATCGAAACATCAAAATGAAACTCACTTATTCAGTCAAGACTTTTATACAAACAAGAAAAGAGAAAAACTGAATAAGATTTATTCAAACAACTAACTTTTAAAAAAAAAATGAAGTATATGTATTTATTTGCATAAACACTTAGTAGATCAATAACTATAACTATTTGAAAGGTAACTCAAGAAGAATTCAAAGAAACTTGTTCATCAGAATACATTAAATGTAATTCTGAGTACCTTCATATTCCCAAAAATAAAAGAATAAACTGTGCTGATGTAATTTGATTTTTTTTCTGAAGTTCCCAAGTTTATTTTAAACTATTTCTTGTTGTTGCAGCTTTCAGCATCCGAGTATGCACAGCAAAGAACAGCATTACAGGTTGCTATTTTTTTTACTAGCCTTAGTGTACTAATTCGTGAATTTTTAAATTTGTTTTACATACTGTTTTCAAATACTGATTATATGTATATATATATGTGTGTATACATACTGTATAGATTTTTGTATTAAGAATTTAAAATACATTTAGTCATATTAGAAGATAGAACAACATAGTAACTATTCAGCAATTAGTCACGACAAAGTTGAGGTACATTTATGTTCATTTTACTATTTCAGCATGCACATGCAAATTCTGTGGGATACTTCATAACACAAGATTCTGCTTTTGGCAACTTAATACTCCCCGTTTTACCTCGTATGCCAGAAGTGAAGCCTGAAGTAAAATGACTGGTGTTTTCATGGTGTCATTGTGTTAATTGTAGTATAAATGTATATAAACAATAGTTATTTCATTATAATAAAATGTTTCATTTAACTTGTTTGCTGTTTTTTTTTTTAAATATTCTTTTTAAAAATGAAATTTCTTAACACCAAAGCTAGTATATTCAGTACAACAGTGTTGAGCTACATGTGGGGTTATTTAAAGGGCTGTATTAATTGATAGTGTCTTAACTTGAATAAACACTGGAGTGGCTCCTGACATTTTGTAATTGTCTAAAGCTGAGAATTCTTAATATTCTGTAAATACTCCCATACACCTGAAATGTTACTTTAGCAAACATACTGATAATATTTAAATACTGTATTCAAATTTAGTATGTCTCAGAAAAGCAGACATTTTTTAATAACTGTAGAGTCTGTCTAAAGTTGCTTTAAGATCACAATGGTTTTTCTCCCATTTTGATAGTCCAAGCTATAATTCTACTCTGTTAATTCTATTACACTAAGTTACATGAAAAAGGTAATCAAATTCACTGTACATGGACATTTAAAAACTCAAAACACACCAAGTAAATAATACATTTATTTAGATACATATTAAAGTGTTACAAAACCTTAGTGTATCAAAAATGCTTTCTATTCTTCGTAATCTATTTTATTCAACAGTTGTATAAATAGGTATTTAACCATCTTTTTTTAGCCTTTACACTAAATATCAAACTATTTTTGTAAAAAATCATTATAACCTTAACAAAACTTAAAAGAAATTTAAAATGAGATTTTTCTATTGGCTTCTTGTAAGAAAATGAAGTTTAGAAAAGAAAAATGAAATAAAAAATAATTCAGGCATCGATAATCAAGACTATATTCACCAGAGTGGGACACCCATGCACTAAAATCAAAACAAAAGAATCTATAATATTTGGAAGCACTCTTAAAAAAACACTTGAAGACTAAACAAAGCAGTAAACTAACAATTGTATACAACTAAAAGAACTGGATTTAATTTTTTTATTTAGTAACCTACACATTAAAATGGCATTTTCTAACAACAACATGTATCACTAGCTGATAACCTCAGATAATAACTACTGTTACCAGGTGTCCTATGAGATTCATTGTTCCAAATGGAGCTATCAGAATTTTTAGAAAAAGACAACTTTAAAAATTGTAATTTACTAGTTATTTTTCAAACACTTGATTCAACTTATCAAGTTTTTGAAATATTGGTATGCTGAAGAAAAAAAAATATTGTTAGCTTTATTCCACATCACAGCATCCAACTAACTCAGAAAGAAAAAACTATAGATACATTTCAACAGAGATTAGTGGAGTAAAATATGTAAGAAGATTTAAAGGCTACATCACTAAAGTAAAATAGATGATAATTGTAAATGCAGTTGATTGGTGAGAATAATTTAAAAACAATTTCAGTTTTGTTTAACACTTTAAAAAAAAAAATGTAAATTACCAATATCAAATTAGTGGGTAGTGGAGTAGGCAGGAATTAGTCATGAGAAGTGAGGGTGTATTAAAAAACTTCATATATGTATATGTGCATACATATTTATATATAATTCCATAATTATTTCAACAACGTAAAATACTGGTTTGACATTTTAAATTTTTAAATAGTAAAGACAGTAACACAAGTTCAGTGTAACCATTACTTAAATTGAGACAACTTCCCCCTGCCTTCAACACTGTGGATAATTTATGAAATCACTTTCAGCAAATATAGTTATTGATTTGTTTATTTCGCTTATAAAATTTAAAGATTATTTTAAATAAATAAAACAAGATATTGTTATAGTAATGTTAGAATAAAAGTAGTTTAAGAAAAAAATATATGGTCTTAAAATAAAAGTACTCATGTCAAGTTTAATAATTTTGATTATAAGCTTTGATTTGTTACACATTGTTATCATAGCACATTTAAGTAGTAAAATAAACTTTGAGCAGAAATTTTTTTTTTTTTGAGGTAACTAAAATACTGCTGTTACAGCTTAAAATCATAAATGCTGTTGTTTAATTTTTTTTAAAGTAATCAATTTAATTATTTTAATCTTTTCATGGAACTTGAGGCAAATATACTGGAAGTGTTGCGTGATTTCAAGAAAGATCACATTTCTGTGAGAATCTGGTTTCCATTATTCATAGTCTTCTACACATAATAAATAATTAAAACATAAAAGTATATCCTTAATTACATAGTAATTAGTTAATGGTAATCAATCAAATAATAAATAATCTTCACATTTTTTTTAATTTACAAGAACATATACAACAAATTTAAAACAAAATAGAAACAAAAGTGCTAATGATAGGTCATTAGTAATTTAAGTAAAGAATAGCACAAAAATATAAAAAGTATTCTACAATTAAACAAAAATTAACAAAATATTAAAGCGTGCTTACATTAACCTCAGTAAAGAAGTTTCATAAATATAAGCTTTAATAAAATACAACTGAGCAATAATTTTATTTTAAAAAATTGCCATAAATATAGAAAATCTTGAAGGTAGAATTAAAACAGGAAGTACTATACTTATTAAATTTCAATCTTAATAAACACACGCAGAGCGCTTTGAGTTTAAAAAAAAATTATTTCATAGATGACAAACTATTAAATGGCACAATGACTTAAAGAATATTTTTTTTTAGAAATTTCAAATTAAAAATCACTTCATATTCTTATGCACATACTTATCATTGGTAAACAAAGAAACAAACATACAGTTGTATGTTATTTGCTACAAAGATCTTTCTCAACAATTTGTGAAGCTGCCATCTTCAACTTCCTGCAAAGAAAAATAAGGGACATTTTTTGTTTTACATTGCTAAAGGTTGAGAATTATTTATTTGTAATTTTTAGATCAAATAGCAGTTAAAAATTTGTAATTTGTTTTTCTAAAGCTAAGCATTCACACAGTTATACCTCAAAATTTAAGTTATTTTAACAACTATTTGACAAGCCCTGATACACATTATTTCCAAGGTTATTTGTTATTTCCTTACTAATCATTGGCGACTGATTTTTAAAAACTTTTTTAACTAGTGCAAAAAAAAAAGTACAACCCACAACAGCTTATGCAAACAAATAAAAGTTAGTGCATTCATAGTTAGGCTGTGCACATGAACATTAGTTACACAAAACAAGAAGCATTTTATTTTTCACTTTTCTAGTGTAGCACCAAAGCAAATTGTGTTAATAAAAACAAATGATTAATTAATTAAAAAAAGGAATACTATAATAAACTGTCTATGCTACAGGTAAATAAAACAATCCTACACAATGACATTTCTTTTTTTCTGTAAATTTTAAAACTAGATCAGGAATGTAAAAAAAAAAAGTGATGTTTATGAATGTTTCATTCAATGATTCAGTAATCTTACAATTTCTGAAGATTTTTTTGTCTTTGGTGTCTTTCTGGGTGACATTGTAACATCAAATGCATGAGGTTCCACCATGTTGGTGAAGTTGGGGAATAATGCTGGAGACTGGTCAGGCACAACATTCAATGGTTGTTCTGATGTAGAGAAAATAGGACATTATTTGATAGCTGTATTAACCCTTTATCTACTGACGGTACTTATGAGTACCACTTTAATTAAGTGCCTCTATTATATTAAATTAAATACGAATTTTAAAAATTATTGATGTATTTTATAGTATTATCTCCCCCGAGTCGCCGGTAGTCGGAGGTATCAATGTTTTTAAAAAAATTAATGGTGTGGCGCTTTTTCAATGTCTTGCTATATCGGTAGTTCACAATTTTTCTGTACATTTCTCACACCCGTTCCTGATTTCCTTTTGTTTTACCTTATTTTTCAAGTTTTCAACCCCAAATATTTTTTATTGGCACCTTCAATAGTCAGGCAAACGCGTTTAACTTCTAGTTATACAATTTTAATCAAATTGTCTTTGTATTAGATCGATGTTTACAAGTGGACTTATAAGTACCGTCAGGGCACACGGTCATTGTTTTTAGGATTTTTAGAAAATTGCAGATTTGTTAGGTGGAGTTACATAAATATTGTCTTGATAATTACTTATCGAAATGTACTCAAAAAATGATATTTACACATTTATAAGAAGGTTTGCATATGGTTTACCTAAGAAATATTGTGATTACATGTTCATTTCTAGTAGTAAAAAAATAACATGAATAAAGGTATCAGTTGCAGGCTCGTTTATAAGGTTTAGTATACTTCATTTGTATACCAAAGCCTAGTTCAGGTTGTAAGATTTAATTTGTTAGTTATATTTACTGCAATAAACTGTCTTGCCTACAACAACTAGCATTTACATAATGTAAACCTGTAGACTAGTAATAGTCCATACTTCTGCATATAGTATAGATCTATAAGGTAAATTTTAATCAGTAAACAGAAAAGAGTAATCCACTACTTCTTCCAAAACACATTGAGCTCACTTCTATTTATGAACTTTGCACTGTAGTGTAGACTTGTCATAACATTATAGTAGGCTACAATTATATTAGTATTTCTAGTAGTTGTGTGCTGAATGACTAGGCTTTTTTTTTGTTTATGCGGCTCATTGTACTAGTTATTGGAAGCTTCCAGCAAAAGCATATTCATTCCGGCAACCGTTGCAACACTAGAAAGACCACAGACAAGATTGAGGGAGCATGACATGTCGACTACTTTTGCTGTGTTTGAGGTCTAAGATGTGTTCCGATAGAAAATCCAGTAAAAATCGTACTCAAAATATACTTTTGTGCTGTATTTATGTGTGAAAATTACAAAAAGTGATTGTTATAATGATTGCCATGTTATTAGTTAATAAATTGTATCGTTTGTTCCTGTTTTGTAAAAAAATTTTTTTGAAAAAAAATGTCCTAGTTTACTGACGGTACTTATAAGTACCAATATCTGTTTGGGCTATTAAAAATTTATGAAACGAAATTTCCGTCGATATATGCTTTGAATGTGCCAAAAGCAATATAGTAACACATTGTTTAAGTAAAAATCTCATTCAGAACATAATTCCGTAAATAAAGGGTTAAACCAATATAAAATCAAACAGTTGTTCATTATAATATATTATAACTACAGTTACACATTTTTAAAAATATAGAATAAATTTAGTCTTTTATTGGATAAAATATTAAAACATTTTCTAGCAAAGGTAAAACTAAATTATTAGGCCCTATTTAAATGTTTTTTTGTGTGTGCTACATCACAATTTTCTTGTGAATGTCAAATGTTAAGATCAGCTGTAACTGTTGTTTTTTTTCTCAGACATGTAGAGCTACTCACTATCTCTAAAAGAAAACATCAATGAGCTCTCCTCCACAGATTCAACATCTGGACTAAACAGTGAGGATTTGGGTTTCTTTTTCTTCCTTCTCATCTTAGTCAATGGTGTTACCTCTCTGAATAACATTTTTTATATTTTAAGTAACGATAAAATTATTGTTTAGCAAAAAATAGTAAATTATTTCAAACTTTTTTCTTTTTAAAAGGGAAATATTTCAAAGTTGAAAAATATATTTTAAAAAGTTATGTCAGTTTTAATGTCATAGTAAAATAAGTGTTTACTTAATTCCCAACCCCATTCCCCCCTCCACCCCCCAAAAAAATTTGTTATTCCACCAGTGATTTTTTGAGTAAGTTAACATCATTATGAGACATCTATAAGAATTGGAAAAAAAATGTATACTTTCAAGTTTTAAAATATTTATAATTATCTGATGTAAGCCTAGTTACAATGAAAAGTTATTTTACCTGTAGGTATCAGCTAGTGGCTCAGGGTCTGGGGTCATTTGTTTCTGGGGATCTCTGGTCACTGGTTTATCTGAGGTCACTGATTTTTCTGTTGTCATCGGTTTCTGGACAGACTCTGTTCAAAAGTTCAGATCATCTTCACATATGTAATGGTTATCTCTTTATAAACACTTCATTAAAACCCATTGATGTGTTTCATTTCAACCCACTATTGGAAAATTCTGCTAAACAAGCTGTAATTAACTCATGTGATAAGCTGATGAATGTCTACAACATATTTATTATAAAAATATCTTTTAAGAGTGACAAATTTAGCAAATTTCCAATATAATAATTGCAGTCAGGTAGGAGTGTGCATGATTGTTAACTCTAAAAGTCCAGAGTTCGGACCCTGGTCAGATGAGGCTTGTTAATTGGGGACAGAAACCCATCTAGGAGAGACAACTCCAAAATTAAAAAAACTTCAGCCTTCTAGGTTGTTCTTGGGTGAACAAACGCTACTCATCTGCACTTATGCTTATGGTGCATAATATAAAATAAACAATTTCCAATATAGAATATTTTTAGTACTAAATCAAATTCTTTTCAACCATATAGGGGGTCAACAGCTTTCAAATGATTCAAAATTGACTTACCAGCAGCAAGAAGCTGCATCAACATTGTTTTAACATAGGAAACATCTTGCGAGAGTTTTTCAGTCACATCCAGTTGCTGTGTGTTGTAACGCTTCAAAGCTTCACGGATGGCATCAACCTCAGCCTGGAAATTATCCTTACTGACCAGCGAGCCTAGGCCTGGGGTTTCCTTGTTGTCCATTTCCCCGTCCTGCAAAGGGAAACAAATTAGAAGATAAAGGCCAATGGATGTACCATATTAGTTTTATTAAACGTCACAAAGAGATACATCTGTTAAGTCTTTTATTTTTGTGTTGTTTTTTTATTGCAAGAATGAATTTTTATAATTGAGGTATCAGAATAAAATAACTTCCTTCAAAGTAGAAAAAATGATTATCATAAACAAAGCTGATATTGAAAAAAAATCATGACTTTGATTATCGTAAACAAATCGGAAATTAAAAAAAAAATGATATTTGTTTTCCTATTTAAGGCAACTGAGCATTAACTGGACAGTATAAAATCATGTCGTAGTATTAAAATGGATGTACTTTACGATCAACTAGAGTGTAATAAAACCATGCCATAGCCTGAACACGTAAGTAACTGACCATAAGCTGTGATCTTGGATCTCCAAACTGCAACCGGAACATTTCTTGCAAGTTTTCTATCTCTTCCTGTAAACATCCAAAACATGGCATAACTCTGTTAAGCACTGGGCAGGTTTTCAAACATTTTGGTCATCATTTCAAGGTTTAGTGACTTTAATCACAACCGATAAATATTATAAAAAAAGAAAACCAAAACTCACCAAATGAGCGATTTGTTAATTTGTGTAAAACCTGTAAAGCAACCGTATACTACTCACCTCTAAATAATAACTGTATTACACTTACATGCTATAAAAAGCTAGTTGAGTAATTAAGATATAGATTTGGATGTTTTTGTTCTGGTAAGTAAGGGAATGTAATAAATCTTTTGAACAAAGCAAAATGCTTAGAGAAAAGCCATTTAAAAAGATCACAAATGTGAAGAAAAAAGATTAGTTTGAAAATAATAAATTTAAGGTAAACATTTTTAGAATGCAAAGCTATCTGTAGTTTTATAGGTTTCCGTACAAGTATAGGTTTTCCGTACAAGTTTTAGTATAAAACACCCATAAAAACATAAAAGAAAACAACACAGGAAATGCCACACAACACACAGGTAAAATGCTAAAATTCATGAGTAAACCATAAGCATGTGTATGTTATAGAAACTAGCTACAATTCATTGACTTAATGACACAATGGTACTTGAAAAATGCTGACAGTTGCTGACAGGGCTATGAGTTTGCTAGTATCACTTCCTAACCCTGACCCCCTTCCTGAACCTAGCCTTCACCTTTACTCTGACCCAATATTGAATCAGACACAAATAAAACCTGAAAGTAATACTGTATTGACGTACCAGCATTTTTATAAGAACCATCACATTTCTATTGACACACAGTATTAACAATGAAAATCATTTACTATAGGAATTTTTTTAGTGCAGCCTCAGAAGACAAACTGTATACCACACAAGAAGCTCACAGCACAACACCCAATCAATTTAAAATGTTAAATCACATTTAAATTAGTGCTAAATCTGTCAAACATTATAGAAGTTATTACATTTTTTTTTAAACTGATGTGTATCAGGGCAAGTAAAAGATTTTACAGTAAAAATTTGTTATGGAATCTCTAAACCAAAATTTTATTTTCTTCTTTATAATTTTTTCTTTGAGAATCAGTGATGTAATGCACCAGCATTTGATGAGAGTTAATCTTTTTATCAGTTACTTAAGACAAGCCTATAGCTCAAACCTTGATCTGAAACGTCACTTTCTTGATGTCTTCCTCGCCCGACTGCGTCATGTCGTCATCGTAATCGTCCACCAAAGGTTTGCATGAGGCGTAGATGTAGGCCAGGAATTTCTCTTTGCTGGGTCTACGCATGGATTCCCAGATGTTGAGGATGATGATGGCCCTTTGCATTATAGAATTGGCTTGTGCATTATCATACACTCTGTTAGAAATATTGAGCACTGTCAAATAATTCAGTTCTGGTAAATTAAATTCTTTGAGTGAAAATTGTTTGTTTTTTCATTATTTTTAGTTAAAGAAGTAATAATTATCCAACCTGGCAGGTTATTATACTAAAAAAATTATTATTTTTTGCTTGCCTCTGGAATGTGTCAGACATTAATGCTATAAATAGATTCAAGCATAGAACAGCAGATAGCATGAACCAGGTCCCAAGCAACAGGTCACTCATGTATGTGTCAATTTTCTTCATGTTCTGAAAATGACCATAAAGGATTAACATAAATTCATATAATAAATAGAGAACAACTTTTTTTAAAAACAAAACCTTTAACTTCACTCAAAACTTAAAACTTTAAAAAATAAAAAAAATTTTTTAATAAAAATAAAACTTTCACAGTAAATATATAATAAATGTAAAGGGAGCTCGGGACTCAATATTTCTGTTTTTTTTTACTTACATCATAGTCATAGTCATCCACTAGTGTAAGCCTGAACATACTGAACAACAGCTGGGCTGGGTATGTGAACCCACTCACTGTTACTTCCTCTGTTGAGTTTGAGTTCTGGGCCATTTTTGTCCCACCAAATATCATCCAAAATGCAGCCACTATAATTAAAATTGTCCAAATTTATAAGTATCCATTAAAGAGGATCCATATTTATGGATAAAAAATTATATCTAAAATGTTTAATGACGTAGCCAGTTTTTGGTACTTTTTTTAAAGCTAGAAACAAAATAACTGATTTATGCTTGGTTTCAAAATAAATAAAAGTAAAAACAAAAGTCTTACTGTAAGGTATGTAAAACTCCAGGTAAAGGAAGAGAAACCTGGCACAATCCTTTAAGATATGACCAACTATCACAATAAAAGGACCTAGAATTTATTTTTAAAACATGTGTAAATATGACAAGCTGTGAATGAGGAACATATCAACTTCAGTATTTTAACAACTCTAGGAAAAGTTCTTAGTTAAAAAAAACATTGAAAGTACACTTGAAATTAATTTAGTAGAATATTTTATTCTATACATACTCATTTTTCTTTTAGAAGATGTAACAAAGATGCTTTAAAAAATCAATCACTATGTAAATTATAAACTTACCCAAGGTATATTTTCCATAACATATGTTGGAAATATATATATATATATATATATACAAATACAAAACATACTGTTAAAAAAATACAACGCTTCATCAAACATAAGAAAAAAGATACAGAAACATTCAGATATTACCTAATGCAGCAAAAGCCCTTGCATTTTTCATTAACCTCAGCCAAAGAAAAATGATGGTAATAGACATAAGACGAATATGAGCCCGAGCCAAAAGTTCAGTGTGAGAGATTATATCTGCTATATGTGTAGCCATGCAAACAAGAAGCAAAATGTAACATATCCAATCAAAGATGTTCCTGAATAAAGGAAAAGGCAACAAGGTGAAGAATTCATTTTCTAGATTTATTTCTATTTCATGGGAAGTCATTGTATTCTTAAATTTGTTTGTTCATATCTCAGCAATGCAATTATGAACTAAATTTTACACAGAAAAATATTTTTCGGGTTTTTTTTTAATGTAACTCATTCATTATGATAGAGTTACTGATGCAAAACATTATTTAAGCTTTGGGAATCAAACATGCTAATAAATGAGCATATGTAACAACTGCTTTATTAAGTAAAATCTAAACAAGTAATATTGTCACTTGTAGAATTATTAACCATCTGTTCATTTGGTTTTAACCCCTTCAGGGAATAAACCGTAAACAAATTTTAAAAATGAGTTTTATTCTCTTGGTATAATGTTAGTGAAAAGCAGTTGTTTGTCCCCTTCTACTTTATATTAGATCTACAGTAACTATAGCTAATGATTTTAGTAAGCTCTAAAGTTATCAGAATATTTTCTTGTATTAAACTTCTTGAATATGTTATGAATGTAGTTTATGAGCATGCAATGTTATGATACATTTTTATTGTAAATACATATTTATTTTTATAGGAAAAGAAACCAGATACCAATATTAAAGACATTATTTAGAAAAATATTACACAAAAGCACAACGTACCATGCATCACTGAAGTATTTGGGCTTGAGTTTCTCAATTTCTCCTAATTCCCCATCTAAGTATTTCCTTTCTTCAGGCCAACGAGGATGACAATATTGCTTGTCTCTTTCAATGTCCTTTTTGCGTTTTTCTTCCCAAGACTGAAAAAAAAAATTAAACTGTTTCAGTATCTACTTATCTTGAACATAAGCTGCTTTGTTCATAAAGTCCTAAGTAAGTCTGAATAATTTACAGTTTACAGACCCTGTCTTTTGGCATTACTTTCCTCCAAATCACAAGCATGATAGAATGGCAGACACAGTTTGATAACAATATATAATCTAAACCTTAGTCTTATCTAAGCGAGAAGTTCTTCTTCTTCAAATTTAGATGAAGATAAAGGATAAAAATGTTTTCTTTGAATTTTCTATCCCACATCATGTGTGCTCAACTTTCATCAGAAAAATTGCTTCTAATTTTGTTTTTATTGGCAGGCAAGTATCTGGCTTGTTATGGTTTACTATACTGAGTAAAATTTAAGGAATAAAAATTGTAACTCTTATGGCTTCAGAGTTAAAAAAAAAAAAGAAACAGCTCTTACATTGTGAATGTGCTGGGATCTCCTAAACTCCATGATTTCCTCATAGATTTGGTAGAATGTGGCTGTTCCTGCCAGAATCTGTTCATCAGTGAACATATGGTGAGCACAGAAATAAAAACATTTGCCTTTATGAATGATTTTGGTGATCTAAGACATTTATTAGTATGACAGGGACATATTCAATACCTCATCATTTTCATAAATCCACCAAGGGAGACAACAAGTCTTTGGAGAATGGATAAAACCCAAATAACCAATATATTTGAGTAGAAGATGGAAAAGGGGAATGATCTAAAAAACAAAATGGGCTCAGGAAGGAAAATATTGAAAACGAGCCGACCCGCGGCATATCATACGCTGCTATTTAGTTGTTGTTTTTTCTACTTTTCAGTAATTCATAATTTGTGAATTCGACAGTACCAACGCTGCCACTGAAAATATTTCTTTAAAACACTATAAGTATCTCGTTAAGGACGATAACCCCCTCCTCCCTCCCCCACCCCTCCGTTACAGTAAACTCCACTTAGTTACTCCCCCCCAGATTTAAAATCGTTTCAAACTAAATTATCTGCCCCTAATAGTCGTCACTAAACCCGGCTCTGCTTGTAAACATTTAGAGTGAACCACAGCTCACCAGACCATGTAGAGGTGGGGGTGGCTTACAGCTTGTTTTCTAGCGTCTCCCAGAAGAGAATTATATATATAGATATGGCAGTGTAAGCAATGAGAAAGTTCAAAGTTCAATTACATGGAACTCTTCAACTTACAAAAAGTACAATCCTCCACACATCATCTGGTAGATCGTAAATATGCCTTTTATCATACTCTACCACAATTCCTATGACAGTCCACAGCACAATGTAGAGAAAATTGACACATACATTAACAACCGACCAGAATCTGTAAAAAGAGCGAATAAAATGCACACAAATAATACTACTAGTTGTAAAATATTTTTATAATAAGGTTACCTAGGCTCTAAGAAAATAAAAAAAATAAAAAATGGCTTTATGCTAAAAGAAGTAAAATGATTTCATCTGCTCAGTTAACCTCCTAATTAAAAAAAACCTACCACACCTTGATACTCTCACCAAAAAACTGTCTGTATATTTAAAGAATGTCACATCTAGACTTTATGTATTCTAACCACAGTCAGTCCCCTATTATTCTGCTACATCTTGATTAACTGCCAATGGCAGGGGATTGTTGTCCTCCCCCCAAGACAAATTTCTGCCACCTATTGGCTACACCATTGACTCGTACCTACATAACCAGAGACTAACTACCACAAAGTACCTGCCAAACTTTATCCACATCACATCCATGAGGCGCATAAACACTGGGTGCATGATTAGGTCATACTGCCTCAATCCCACAGCTATGTGGATCTAAAATAAACAAAAAGGAAATTCTGTACATTTTTTTAGGCTAATATTCCTAGTAGTACATTGTGAAAATGAATATTTTAACAGTAATCTCAATAGAAGAAATGCTGAAAATAAAAATTTGAAACAACATACTTTTGTAAATAAAAGTTAAAATCATGATATTAAATATTTAAAAAACCATCAGATGGTTGAACCATTAAAAGTTTTCTAAGGATATTAAGCGTGTGTTTATGAATACCTTGGTTCTAAACATATAATTTCTGTAATGCCAGAATGTCTTTAAATTGTAAAGCTTATAACTATTTGTTTATTATTTATTAGTGCATATGCAGCTAATATTTTCATTTATTATGTATTTTAATATAGTAGAGACTCTAAGAATGTAATATAAATAAAAATGAATAAATCACAATGAAGGTATATTTTTTTTAAATAATGTAAAATTTAACACTTTATAAAATATGTCTACAACAAAGAAACCAGACAATAGAAATTTCAAAAACTCAAACTAAAATTGCTTATTTACAGAAAAACAAATTAAATTCTTATTTTCCTATGGGTGCTGAAACTAAAAGAGAAAGAAAAAACTAAAAAATGTCATCATGCACAAAACAAATAATTTGGAAAAATTAAAAATAAAACTTTAAAGAAATACCCTACTAACACAACAATGCACTCTTCAACGACCACTATCTTTTTTTCTACTGCTAACCAGCAGCTACAACTGATGTAAAAATGCAATACCCTATTTTGAAGAAAGTGAATTAGAATATTACTACAGAAATAGAAACTTGATTTTTAAAAATACAATGCATACACTTTTAAAACTACCCAAAAAAAAGATTGTTTACTTAGAAACCAGACCTGTAAAATTTATTAAAAAACTTTTTTTTTTTTTTAAATTATCATGCATTGCTTTTTGTGTCTATTTACATGTTGTGTATGTAAAAAAAAAAGTAATGTTTTGCCATTTCAATTTCAAAGAATGGAAACAATTTGAACAAACAAGCAGAAACAAAAAATAAACTTTAGAAAGTCTCACCGAAAGACAATCATGAACAGAACTTGTATTTAGCTATAGGAAAACATGTCAATTAAAGGGTTAAATTATAAGAAAAAATTTAACTGAAAAATTATTTAAAAATCAACAGCTAAGTTTTATATCTGAAGGTTCAGGTTAAAAAAAATATATTGTTGGGCTATTAAATCACCACCTAGAAAACTTGAATCAAGAAAAACAAACTTAAATGTACATAGAATATGTAGGTTGGTGCTACACTGCTTTTTATAAAGGCTACATTTGAATTAATCATGGCTTTAGAAAAAAAAAACAAGAAATATACAATAGGATAAATATATTGGGATTATCTGTAGGAACATCAGATTTTATCAGAGGAAATGGTCTAGTAGGGGGTGAGATACCACCAAGGGGATTAGCCTTGAGGTAACTGTCCATGAATGTGCATGGTGGGTATGAAATCAATACAATCAAAATCAATAAACCTTTGTTAGATTCCTGACAAAAAGATAAAAGATAAACATAACAATGACAGACTACTTGTGAGGTAAACAGAGCAGTAACAGGCAGATTGCAGAGGTAGGCCTACATAGAACAGTAACAGACTAATTGAGGAGTACCGCATTTTCTAGCGTGTAAGATGACTGGACATATAAGAAGACCCCTCAACTTTTACTACTAAAATATACTGATGACACCCTAACACACAAAATGACCGCCAAATTTTGGAAATATTTTACTGATTTAAAAAGTTATTTTATTTGCCAGAAAATATGGTTTATAGAACAGTAACAGATTGTGAGGTACATACAATAGTAACAGAATATTTTTCAAAGTTAAATAACATAAGCTTGTGTGTAGACAAAATAAAATTAGAACCAATCAATAGAGCTAATCATTAATAAGAAACTAACAACTAATCTGTGAAATATGAAAGATTTTTTATTTAAAAAATGCTGAAACTTGTAAAGCCAAGATTGGTTTGGAGCTGAACATTTCAGTTTAAATCTCCACATTTAACTTCCAATTAAAAACTATCATTTGTTTTCAAAATTAGTTATAAAATTGTCAAAATTAAAAAAAATATTTTAATTTTCTATGGAAATGTAAAAACATTAATAACTGCTACATTTATTTAGTTGTCTTCTGAAAAGTTTGTACTAATGGATTATTTTATCACATTTAATAATTTTTCAGAGGGTGTTAATAATTTCAAACACCAGACCACTTTGCTGTCTTAATTAAGATATAATTAAAATACATTTCTAACTATTATTTCCACTTACCGGAGTTTGTACATAGCCATCTACATCTTTTTCTGAAAGTTGAATCAAATAAATGAATACAAGTTAGCAAAGAAAGCAGACATCTACAAATGCCATGGCTTATAGCCTTTTTAAAACAATTAGCAAAAATTTAGCCATTTCTATGGATGATGAATTTTCTAGCAAAAATCAAAGTTGTCCCTAAACTAAAACAACATTTTCTAGCCTCTAGTTTGTCTACTATACAAAATTATAACAGAACTGAAATTGCAAATCATGAAAATATTAATCAACAGACCTTTATCTCTCACAAGATAGTTCAGGTAAAAATATTGCTTCCTGTTAGGTCTGTCTGTCAGATGCAACTGTTTTAATCCTTCATACGCCTAAAATGAAAAAAGATTTACAAAAATTATCTTGCTACTGCTTGTCACTGTATTAAACAAATTGTTATACACTATAATTCAAATAAAAGTTTGTAGTTTTTTGAGGATTAATGTGAATGCCTCAAATTATTTTATGTCATAATTATTCAAATTAATTCAGCATGAGTAATGCTAAGTGACTCAGCAATGTAAAACTTCACTTTACATCACTTTATAAAAAATCATGATGTGGGCTGCCGTATACCATACCATTGGGGCCATCTTGGTTATCACTCAGCAGTATAAAACTTCATTTTATACCCCGCTGCAAAAAGTAATTTAGAAAAACCTTTGCCAAGGCACACTGTTACAAATGTAACGGACACCTATCTACCAGCCAGATAGATGGTGAACGCCCCCGGATTCTTTCTTGGGGTTATATGCAAAAGACCTAAAGCCTAAATGAATGAAAACTAACTCAACAACACACTAGGGCTCGATTTCGAGGTCTAGGGAAAACTAGTGAAACTATTGAAGTTAACAACTCATTCAATCTGCATACAACCTTTAATAAGTGAACACAGTTGTGGCAGAACACAAGGTTAAACAAGATAAAATATTTAGTTTAGAAAATAACAAAACCCAACTTACAAAGCGTAAGAAAAAATACTATCACAGATTCTAACACTTTATAAAAATAGCCACAGATCACATAACACTGCTATAGCATCAAGAATCACTTGGCCACAAGTAATATAATACTAGAATACTTAAACAACTTAAGAATGCATAGCACACTCAGGACTTAAGTTCTCTCACGTTCAAATGGTCAGAATGGACTGCCGGACAAAATGGACGGCCTGGTCATAATGGACTGCCTCGTGCCGCCTGTGGGCGATCTAGTTATAGACTTAGGCAACATGGGAGGTTACCCTCAACTCATGTGGCCATTGGTTGGGGTGGTCATCTGGTCTGAATCAATCAATCAGATCTTGATGGAAAATTTCTGAGTCTTAGACTCCCTTAGTAAGACAGCGGAAAAAACCCGGTTGTTGCACCATCGACCATATATGGTATTATAACAATGTCAAACAAAAAAATAAAACATTACTAGACCTAAGTAGGTCACACAAATGTGGAATGTAAACTTACCACTGGCGCCATCTTGTTTATCATCCAGGTAATGGCTCTGGTGCCATCATTATCACTGATGAACACAGGTGCCTCAAGCTCTAGCAGAAGTCTTGCAGTCTCACTGCGATCTTGAAAAATGGAACAAGAGGTCAAATCTTAACACAGTGTAAAGGTCAAAAGTCAGTAAGGTGTCCAATAATCTCATCTTATAAACTTGGTTGTATGATATTTGTGTGGATTTTCTGTAGATATATCTTTTCTTAACATCATGTGGTAATGTAATTTAAATGAAAACAAACTAGCCTTAATAAATATTTACCAGGAGAAGAGGTGCAGAATAAAAATAATTAATAATAGTCAAACAAATTTTCCATTACAAATGTGAAACATCTGTGAAGCAAGTCTGGTTATCAATAGAAATGTAGAATCAAAGTTTTAAAAAATATTTTAAAGTTTTCAGTATTTGCACATCCTTTAACAGAGGGATCTTTTTTTTTTCAGGTTTAGTTTAAAATTTTTAAATTAAAGCTACTAAGAAAAAAAGATGTAGAAATAAACACATTTCTGGTCTCTGTCAACATCAATGAGATGTCCAACTGGGACAATTGCGTTCTACTTGAGACTTTGAAACCCTGATACAACAACTTACCAAGTTCAGCTGCCACGTGAATAGGTGTTCTCCCTTTGTAGTCTACAACACGCTTGTACCGGCAATCATGTTTGATAAGTGCTTTTAGAGACTGCACAGCATCGTTTTTGGCAGCATAAAAAACAGGAGTCTGTTCTTCACCCTTTGTTTTGGCTTCTTTATTTGCTATATCACCAAAGATGATAAAACAAGAATAAATAACGATGACTCATCTGACTAAAGATATTGTATGATTTTGGTATAAAAATTAAAAAAACCTTTCTTCTCTATCAGTAGATTAACCATTTCAGGATAGTCAACAGCTGCTGCTACATGCAGAGGTGTCCGTCCATATTTATCCCCCTTGTTTACATCACCTCCATTTTCTATGACAAACTTGGCAACATCAATGTGCCAGGACCTTGCAACCTGTTTAGTTTACATCAATATTGCGTTAAAACAGGATTTACCTTTTTAAACATTTTCTCATATTACATTTCACTATATAATAACAATTTTATGATAACATATATTCAAAAGTAACAAAGTTACAGTAAGATTAAATAATAGAAAGTATAATGACTATTCTCTTAATCTGCGCTTGGTTAAAAGAAAATAGAGAGGAAAAATGAATACCTCATGCAGTATAGTCTGACCATAGCGATCTGTACAATTGATATCAGCGCCACCTTCCAGCAGAGCATACACAAATTCCAAGTCAATGGTCGTTTTATCATCGGTTGATTGGCCCAGTCTTGCAAAGTGTTTAATGAGAGCCTCAGTGTTGGCCTGGATCAACTGGGAGTTCTTCTTTTTCAAAACTTTTCCATCAACAAAATTAAGCCCAGTTTCATCCAACCCAAGACCACCAGAGATGGTTCTGTCTTCATCTATGTTGATCCCTGGTTCTTCTGCTGAAGACATACATAAATCTAATATTCCACGTATAACTCAGATTTATTCAAATTTTTAGGTAAGAATAGAATTTAATTTACAAAAATAACCTGGTTTTTCTTTGGTTATAGTGAAGTTAACTCAATGGGAAATTTATCTAGAACAGTTTTACATGGTTACTGGTTATGATTTTTGAAATGTCTAAAAATAACCTGGCTATTATGGAAATTGCGTTTAACCAACAGTAAAAGGCTAGTTTAAATATTAAACCATTTTAAAAAAAAAAAATTCCTGTTTAATTAAAATATTTAACTTACTTTTCAATGTTCTATGAACTAGAAATTTTTTTAAACACAAAATCATTCACATAGTCATTTACTATAATATTTTGAAAGTTAACTATGACAGCAAAAAATGAAAATAAAGGCAAATTGTAAACATATAGGAATTGACATTATAAAACATTACAAATATATTTTTACATGAAAAAAGTATTCAATTAACTAAAAGAAAAGAAACAATTTATTCTATTCACAATACATCACTAGATTTACACCTTTGCTAACTTGTAAAATTGAATTTTAAAAATTAAAATAAGGAATTTAAAAAGCATTAACTGATAGAGAAAGTGTTAAAAGCTAATGTAGCTGACTTTTCAAAAAACGTAGAATGATCTCTTTTACTTGTTCATTCTTTTAGTTATTACTCCTTAAAAAGGCTATACTTTTCTTATGAAAATTGTTAGTGTTACAATAGTTATTTTTTAATCAAAAATACACTTAACAATTTGGCTTGAATTGTACTATAAATATTTAAAATATATGTTTGATCTGAACATGGCCTATTATAAAAGAAAACTTTAAATAGAAGCAAAAAGTAGGACAATGCAAAAATGTAAAACTGCTATTTTTCTACACATAAAAAGAAATTAGGAAAAAGAAAAAACAAAAATATTAATTTACCTCATAAAGTTTACATGCTAATAAAAAAGTACAATAAAATTTTGCAAGTACTGTATGATAAATTAAAAACATACCTGGTTTAAAATAGGCCTGATGTTTGGCTGGATGGTTAAAAAAAGCTTTTAAAACATGGTAGTTGCTTTTGGTCAAAGATTATGAATGGCATCAAAATAAAAAAACATTTTGAACAAATAATGTAGCCATTAGAATCTGATGGCATGTAAGATCTTTTCTTTCTTAAACTGCATTAACAAATCTTTACAGGATCAAATTATAAGATTACTCTGGTATATTTATGTTAATATATCGAATATTTTTTTTATATATGCTACAAAACTGAATAGTATATTTAAAAATAGAATGAACATTTGATTTCTTATACAGCCATACTTTAAATAAATATTATCAATTTGTTGTTAAAATATTGATACACACTAATTCATACCATTGTTAAAAATTCAATAAACAAATTACAAAGCACACATTTCTGGCAATATACCCCAAACAGTATTATATGGTAAGAGGGAAAGCAAAATATGTTATATATCCACATCAAATCTTGTGTGTTAATAATTTGAGTTAAATAAAAATGAGATAAAACTTGCAAAATTATGGTAAACACAAAGGTTAATAATTATTAGTTTTTTTAAATAATGTCTTGGACAGTTATCTTATTAATTCATCACCTCAATTAGTACTATTTAAATGCAGGAAATTTAATATATGATCTGATTAAATGGAAATCGTACATCTTTCAATACTAATTATGCCCATGAAATTAGACATTAGTTGACCTAAAGGGACAGAGCTAGCATAAACAAAATTGACAAACCTGAAAAACCTGGAGATCGCAATTCATACAAAATTAATGGTTGGTGGTTTACAATCTGACCTTATCTTATCCATAATTATTGCATAATTATAATAGCTTAATAAAAAATTAATTATTTTTTAAATTTTCTATTCACTTGATAAAAATCTAATTTTAAATGAAAGTGAATTTTAGGGTGTTGACAACTAGCTATCAAGCTTATATGTTTAACTTTTGAGTTAAAATTTGTATTTATAAAAGAACATTAATTTGAGCCCTTTTAATTTTAAAGAATTTAGCCATACAATCAAATTTATTTTGTAATCTGCACTGGAAATAAACAAAATATAAAACTTTTATGTTATTAAAGTTTACAGTTGTTAACATTGATTTTATTCTGTTGTATGTAAGAAATTGATTCCATGCTGTGTTACAAAATTTGATAAGTAAATTTGATTAAAAAATTTCATTTAATGCTGGAAGGAAGGTAGAATGACAAAACAAAATTTTAGGGTAAATGTTGATTAATCATCCTTCATTGTCATGGACAATAATATTTGTAAGAATTCATGTGTCAACAGGGAAGTCCAAAAACTAACCATAGAACTAAATCCTAAACTCTGACAATAATGAATGCAGGTGGGATAAATGAGATGGAACAGTTGTATAGGAATTATGAAAAAGGAAAGGAAACTTACAAGCTCGTTTTCTTATTCTGCGGTTAGTACTGTAGGATTTCCACCTTGAAGCTCCTGCTTTTAAATTAGTGATGAACTGAATTCCATTTTCACTTGGCACCAATTTTGTTTCCATTGTCAGATTGTCTTGAATAGTTTCAAGCGAACTTGATGAAGACAGGAATTTAAATTACAATTTAAAATATACTGTATTTATCATAGGCCTATTTAAGAGAAACTTTCTAAAAAAATGAACTTGCCTGTAGATATGTTAAGAAATTATGACCTTGTAGATACATTAAGAAATGAAGACCTGTAGGTGTAGATAAAATATATTTAAAAATTTAACCTGTATGTGCAATATACTTACAAGATGTTCTGTGCTTTATCAAGTTTTTGGTCCATATGAATTTTTCCTAAGTCTACATCATCCGGAGCTATTTTCCCTTTCTTAATTTTTTTCCGATAATCCATTAAGATTAAGTTTAAAAAAGAGACTAGATCTGGAGTCCAAATCTAGATTGGAGTGCAAAGTTTAGATAATTTTTTTAAAATTGCTCAGCAAGCTACTGAGAACTGTAGTAAGTCAAATGTAAATTCAATCTTTCTTTTATTTTTTATATTATTTACTTTTTTAATTAGGCCTTAAATCTAAATTAAAGTATGTGTATCTGGGAATGAAGGAAAAACTATTTAATACTTTGAATTAAAGTTATAAATAAAAAACTTGTTAGATATTTCATTAAATAAATAAATTATCTTTCTTTTCTAAGGAGTTATTGTTTTTGTTTCACTCCACTTTCAATCTGCAGTCCACACAAAAAAATAGAATACCTCACTCACGAGAGTTTTCCTTAGTCTCCTGAATTTTTCAAGAAGTATTTAAAATATGTAGATCTAGATTTATTACTAGACTCTAGTCACATTATAGATAATGTGGTATATTACAATTTTTTGAAAAAATGTTTTTTATTTTACTAATAATTAATAATCATTTCGTTATTCTTGCTGAGCTCTCAAAGTCGCCATTTTGTGTGGTTGCTAACTCCTAACAAACTAGCATTAGAAACGGAAGTTGTAAATGGGAAGAAAAGTACGGTTACTGTAAAACCGACTCAAAAATAAATGAGGCCAAAATAAAAACGAATTTAATTTTAAAAAAAATCGCAATAATGCTGATTAATTTGTTGGCTAGTTTGTAACTAGATAATATCTAGATTTAGTTTCTGTGAACAGTGTTTCTTCCAGGCATCTCTTCGGGGGGGGGGGGGGGGGGGGGGAAGGGGGGGCCGTAAACCGCCCCCCGTACGAAATGGAATTTATATAAAAAATATATACTTTAAACTGTATCCACCCCCCACCCCCCCCCCCCCCCCCCCGGAAATTTGAAGTGCCCCCCCCCCCCCCGAAGAAAAAAGTCTGGAAGAAACACTGTCTGTGTAGGCGGAGCAGTGATCGAATGAAAGTTATACAAAATTAATAATTAAATTATAGGGCAATACGTCACACGATAATGGGTAACATATAGATCTATTGTCTAAATCACATTCCTATTTGGTGTTGTGGGGAACTTTTGTGACATTTGCGACAAGAGCCACACCGGGTGTTATCCATTATGGTGACGTCATTGGTCTGACTTTTGTTATATAAAAATAACGACTACCAATGTAGGATTAATTAAAATGCATAGCAGTGCTTCGATATATTATTGGCAAAATATTACTGTTGAGGCCTACGTACTATGCTCTCTATTGTTTATATAGTTTAGCATTTTATACCGTAATAAAATAATTTAAAATTAAATGACACCCCCTTCCACAAAAAGCGAAAAATAAATAAACACTTAAAGTAGTTTTGGTCTATTGTATGTAGAACTAGACTAGATCTAGAATCTATATCTATGTTGCCGCGATTCGCACTGAAAACAAAGTATTAGAGTAGGTTTTTGGCAAACCGGTATTTATAATTACCAGAAAATGGCAGCGCCCAGCAGTTCGAGTGCTTTATTGAAAGCTTGTGAAGAAGTAAGATTTTAATACCAATATTTAAGGCTTAGGCCTATAGCTATAGATAGACTATTAATTTTTAAGCAAAATAAATATCGTCCATAAGGTATTTAATTCATTTTAATGGGTGACGTTAATTTAAGTTAACTTTCGTAAATTTGATTTACTGGCTGGAGTCTGGAGTAAGTTCAGTGGTAAAACTCCATTTCAGCGTATTTTATTCTCCGTTGCTTGTTTACCTCCAGTTGAGCGTATTTTATTATAACAACCGAAACACACCAAAACATTAGGAAAACACGATTTATTTTTTGTATTATATTTTTACTTTCTCGTATATACGTAGTATAGAGAAAGTATTGTAATCGTGCAAAAAAAAAAAAATCGAGATTTTTACAAATCTCGACGTTTTACACCTCACTGATACGGAAAAACATAATTTTGCAATCTTGTCCGTATGTCTGTGTGTGTGTGTGTCTGTCCGTGTGTGTGTCTGTGTGTAAACACGATAACTTGAGTACCGTTACAGCTAGGTTGATGAAATTTCATATATAAGTATTTTATCAAAATCATAGATCCGTATCAACTTTTGAGCGATTTCCGATAACCGGAAGTGGTACTTTTCCTACTTTGAATTTTTCAAAAGCCTATAACTTGAGTACTATTTCAGATAGATAAATGAAATTTCACATGTAAGTAAAAGATCTAATTCTCTACCTTCTGTTAAATTTTGAGTAATTTCCGTTGACTGGAAGTAGTAATTTACGCTACTTCCGATTTCTCAAAAAACTAATGTAAATTTTTAAAGTACTAATAATATTGCGCACTATTATACGCGTTTTTATTCGGCGTTTGCTTGGTGCGCAATGTTTTTTTTATGAGATTCTATTCTATTTTTAAAAGTTTAAGTATTTACAATGGATTAAAAATCATAACTATATCCCCAGTTACCATCCCCTCTTGTTTTATATAAGAATATTCGAGAAAGTTTAGGGGAGATCACTACCGGTTTATTGTTTTAGCAAATGAATAAAAATGAATATTTAAAAAAACACAACTTGTTTATTTGTATTGTATTTTTAAATAAAAAGGCATTTGTCTCATGGTGAAACTGATACACTGTTTAATCATTCTGTTTTATATTTTTGTATTTATGCAACAAATGTACAAACTCTGTGTTTTTTAATTTGACAGTTTTGCTAAAACTGAAAAAATTATTTTACTATAGAGTTGTATGTTATTTAAATTCATATTAAATCTAGATCTACCATCCTTCCCTTTTTTGTATGAGTAAATTTCTGACTTTTAAAAAAAAATTGATGTGGGGTCGTCCATAAATGACGTCACACTCGTAAGGGAGAGGGGGGTCAGCAATTTTGTAACGGTGTGTGATGAGGGGGAGGGGGTGGGGTTTCAGATGGTGTGACGTCCCTTTTTTGCATTATAAAAAAGCAATGTTAGAAAAACAAGTTTTAGCCGTTATTTCACGTTTTAGAAAACGGTTTTAATAAATTGTAATATGAATTGATCAAAATACTCTATGTTGACAGAGTTCTGACAAGATTTTGGAAAAATTATCGATGTTTTAAGAAAAATTCAACAGAAATTTTGAGGGGGGTGGGGGGTTGTAGGCTGAAGTGTGACGTCATTTTAGGGGGGGGGGGGTCTGACTTTTTGTGACGACGTGTAACGGAGGGGAGGGGGGAGGTAAAAATCGTAAAAAGCGTGTGGTTACAAAAAGCAAGACCCCCCCCCCAAAATGACGTAGCACCATCTGAACTCCCCCCCCCCCCCTCATCACACACCGTCACAAAATTACCTCCCCCCCCTCCCCCTACGAGTGTGACGTCATTTATAGACGACCTCTAACATTATTTTTTTTAAAATGACAATGTGAGTTGTCACACTTTCTCTAACACTCCAAGCCATCCCTCACCAAATTCCACCCCCCCCCCCCCCCCCCTCGGCCCACTTTCGGCAGCATCATTGTGCCTTTTAATACTTTTATTCAGTTTAGTTGAAATTGGAACACTTAATTGTACAAAGTGTGCATCTCTATTTTTGTAACCAACAAACAAAGCACTTCAGTCAGTCTCTTTGTTGTTTTTTATTCATTTGTTAAAACAAATATACAATACAAATAAATAAGTCGTGTTTTTTAAACATTCATTTTATTCATTTGTGAAAACAGAAATACAATACAAAAAATAAATCGTGTTTTCCTAATGTTTTGGTGTGTTTCGGTTGTTATAATAAAATACGCTCAACTGGAGGTAAACAAGCAACGGAGAATAAAATACGCTGAAATGGAGTTTTACCAGTTCAGTGACAGTGTGACAGTGAGTAAGGCAGTGACTGAGTAGTGAGTGGAGTCGACCTCAGACCAGTTTGCTGCTTTTGCAGCTTTAGCCAGGAAAGTTTTATTTAATCAACTTCACTATCACTATAATATTAAGAATAACTGCTAGATCTAGATGTACATTCTGGGAAAATGTTTATACTTAATGACTCCATTGGACCATTAATGATTAATGAGGCCTACAGTCAGATTTTCAATTAAGGCCCTCTTAACTTTTGTCCACAGGTAATATTTGTAACAACTTTTGGATCTGAAGACCAGACAGGAAATGTGAGTGCATGGGATGCTCGCACTGGTAATCTTCTTCAAACATTCCGCAATGGATCAGCTGCTCAGAATACGCTGTGTATGCTTGGCGGTGAAAGCTTGCTAGCAGCCTCTCATACTAAGCCCATCATACATGTCTGGAACATGCTTAGACAGGTTGGTAAATTAAATACTGAAATAAGCCATGGCCTGGTAGTTGATATCCTTTCAAGTTGTTAGTAATGTTAGGCACAGTTAGACCTACTACAAAATAGTCAAGAACTGTAATTTTAAATTGATTAATTTAAAGTTACGCCCATATAATGATGCTTGTCTTTTTGTCTGCATAACCTTGACTAATTATTTTTGTGTTCTATCATAGAGTCAAAAACATCGCAAGTTGATATGTGGCAGCAAAGTGTCATGTTTGGCCATGACCCCTGATGGCAACTACATAGCTGCTGGTATGGAAGATAAGATACATATCTGGCAGGTTGGTTGAGTCTAGTATTATAATAATAATAATATTATAATGAAATATTATATTGATACTGCAGTATGGAATTTAAAGTGAACACAAATAGTATCACTTACAGATTATAACCATTTCATATACATGTTTCACAGGGGTAATTATTCAGTTCTTATTTAGAAAAGTGAACTCAGTGATGTTAAACTAGACAAATGGCCGGAAAGTTGACCAAGGATCTAGCTTAATAGTTTGATGTGTATAGATTATAAGAAAATATAAATTTAATACCAATGAATTGCATTTATAATACTTTCTGTTTTAAAATAAAATACTTTAATATTTTAGGTGTGTTCTGGAGAACTTTATAGTGTCCTGTCCTACAGCAGTGTTGAAGTGAAGTGTTTGAAGTTTTCTCCTTTTGGGCAGCATTTAGTTTCTGGTTACAGTGATGGAGCAGTAGCAGTCTGGGAGTTGATAGAGTTAGTTACAAATAATTACAAACATTTCTTTTTTTTCCCTGCAATAAATTGAGGTCAGACGAAGGTAATATTTAAAAAAAAAAACCACTGAATAATTAGCTATGTAACCATTTATAGATACAACAGTTTCAAATAATACATTTTGTTTTAGTGTTCTGTACAATGATCCTACAAGCATAACTGAGCACACACCAGTTAATGTCTTTCTTGGGCATGCAGGGGAAGTTACTGATTTTCACATAAGTTTGTCAAACAGAGTTGCCTCTTCATCAATGGACTTTACAGTCAGGGTAAGTTCATAACTAACATCATAGAAATAATACTCACCTGAATTAGTGTTACTCGGTTTTAAATTATTTTAGATACAAAATGTGCTTTTGTTTTAAATTCTAACTGGACTGATAATAATAAAAAGTAACTTTGATGATCTTAACTAAGAGAGGTAACTATATTATAATAATAGAAAAGATCTGATTATTTCCCATTGACTTACAACAAACTAGATACCAAATAGTTTTAATATTTGAAAAATTCTTGTTGTAACAATTATCAGATTTCAATTTACTTTTTGAAATCTTAATTCCTAGCTATATCTAAATATTGTAAGAAATATAAATACTAAGTTGATTTTAGATGACATGAATGATAAATTTTTGTTCAATGGTAAGCTTTTCCCCTCAGATCTGGAATTTGTTGTGTAAAGAACAGTTGAAGATGTTTGAGCTTGGTGCCCCCATCACAACAGTTGCCCTTGATCACTCAGAGTTATGCCTTTACGCTGGAGATATCAATGGAAATGTTTACGCCATTGATTTACACTATCAGGTTAGTTGTAAATTGTTCATTGTCTTTCTCCATATGTTCAATCTGTTTACTGATATGTTATGTAATATGTACATTTAGTATTTGGAAGTAGTGTTAATTTTATCCAACTGTTGATTTTTTAATTATAATATTATGTCAGCCATCAGAACAGTCTGTTCATATTGATACAAGGGAGGAAAACAAAGGCTTCACACATCATGCAGCCCATACGTAAGTTTGTATCCAGTTCATTTTTAATAAACACTTGAGATAAGATTATTCCAGCTGTGTGTTTTTTTCTATGAGGATTTCTTTAAGTATAAAAATCAGTACAACTATATTCATCATCTTTTCCTGTTTGTGCCCAAGACACATAGAACAGATGAAGCAGAGTTTTTCTGTTTCTACAAGGTGATAGTGTGGTCAGCACTATGCTCAGCTGCCTACTTTAAGTGTATAAAATAAATTAAACATTTCCCTGCGGAAAAATTAGTGAACACAATTTTATTTTTTAAAATGTCTTAAATAATGTATTATTGGTGTTGTTAAATAGGTATTTATTTAAGAATTTAATTATTAAGCACATGAATATTTTAAAAAGTTAATGTGGATGTGAATTTGCTACACTGGGCTTTGGTTTACCCTACAGAGCAGCGGTGAGGTGCATGAAGCTCTCAGTAGACCAGTCACGTCTCATCACCGGATCAGATGACAAAACAGTCAAAGTGTGGACTATGATGTCAGCTGTCACACCCCTCGTCATCACACTAAATGGTCTGTTGTAACTTCATTGAATTGTACTTTTTCAGTTTTTGTAGGTAAAAATAAGAGCAAACTCTTTTGTTTTGATAGGAAAGTCCAAAGTACAGGAAATGACAGATTAAGACTACCTCTCTTCAATAATGTTTACTTAAACATTGATTATACAAAATTGTATAAGAACATTGATTACCTGTTACTTTTACTGTTAAAAGTATCTGTTTATCACCTTAATATGTGTTGCCAAATACTATTATCCATACCCAACAACAGTACATATTTAATTAGCAGAGTTTAGTTTATCAATAGATTGATATAGATCAATTCCATTTCAATATTTAGCTGTTATCATAACAAATCAGGAACAAATTGTATTTGTAGAGCAAATACTTTATTACTGCACAATTTTATGTATTTCACTATTCATAATTTAAAATAGCTTTACAGATATTTGCAAAGTGTTTAAATTTTTAAAATTTCCCATTTAAAAATAAATTTCTTGTAGAAAGAGTGAGCAATCTTTTGGTGGTTCCCACACCCAGTGCATTGGTTGACCCAGATCATAACCCAAAGAGAGTGATAGGAAATTTAAAGCGCCACCTACATGGAACAGAGGGAGAAGATAACTGTGATGACATTTATGTGGAAATAAGAAGTAGTGAGGTAATTACATTGAACTGTAACCTTTAAATCATCATGTTTGAACACTTTTCTAATATCATTTTATACATTTCAATCCACTGTGATAATTAAAATTAATGGTTAATGTGTTGGTCGTTACATTAGAAACATTTTTTCAATATGATTTTGCAATAAAAGTCTTTAATATTTAGAAAAAAAAAAATTTTGGAAAAAATATGAACACATTTGATCACACAATTTTATTGTAACACTCTGGAATGAAATGTGATAAAATCCTGTTTGAGTTTTTTCTTGTGTGATTTAGCATTTTCAGTTTTATTTTCTCTGCATTGCTAAATTAGTTTTATATGGGGTTAGTTCTGTGATACCTGTTAATGTTTTATCTATGTTTCTACAGAAATAAGTAGAACAGAGGTTTTCATGCTTAAATCACTTTAGACTTAATAGTTGACAGTGTTATTTTACTCTGCTACTTTAAATGTTTTTATTTTGTATTCAGCATCCTCTGCCTGATATGCATTTTGAGGAACTATTGGAAGGTTTTTCTTTATTGCAGGTTTGTTAAAATAATTTGTAAAATATTTTAGTCCAGTCTTTAAATCTTACTGTTCAAGTGTTCTACAACCAGCTGTTTTGCAGTTAACCTTGTTTTTGTTCTTATGTTTAGCTGAATTAGTAATTGACACTTTTCAAAATATTTATACAATAAAGTTAGTAAGGTATAAAATTTAATTGTAGCAATCTGTACCTTTTCAGATAGTAATGTTTTAAAATATATAAAAATTGATTGAAGAAAACTGAATAAGAATAACTTGTCAAAAATATTCCTAGTGTATTGTTAATATACTTCAAATTTTTTTTTTAAACAGTTTAATTTTAATTTCTAAATTGTTGTTAAATAAGGGGAAGGGAAAGCTAATTAGTGTAAATTCATTTAGCTTCCCAAAAATGGAAGAAAGATACCATTTCTCTCTAGTTGAAGTCCCATTGTGTTTTATTCTCACAAATACAATACACATTCCCCGATCTCAGGCTAGAATTGTATTTCTTTTCAGGATGCAAGCGCCCCATCCACAGACACGACTAAGGAAATGGAGTCACTCAAGCTTAAAGCAAACCAGTTAAAGAAAGCAAATGAAGAAATGTATGAGTTTGCATTAAAAGAAATTATTAAGTAAATATGGTGTTATTTAACAGTGATTGACTGTTCGGTGCATGGACAAAAAGGAATATAAAAACTTTCATAGTTAATTAATGAACTGATAGAGACTTAAATATAGTGTGAAAATAGCTGTGTATGGGGTGTAAGAACATGTCTGTTTCTAAACAAAAATACACACAAGTTTTTCATCACCCAGTGCATTTATCACTAACACCATAATATATACTGTATCCAGTACTTCAAACTGAACCCAATGTACAAAGATGCACCCAGCACTTCAAACACGTGCACCCACACCTTTTCCACCTGAAACTAACTTAAATCTACAATAAATATCAGAAGAAAAACAGACATCAAACAAAATAGTATTTTTTTTTTTAAATAGTGCATTTTATTGTACACTCTTCAAAGGCTCACTTTCACACACATGAATATTTGTCACAGTTATTTGGTACAAATCCATTTTTCTTTGGAATTAACAACAGTAATTTCACTTATAAATGTGTTAGTTTTTTTTCTCACTTTTTAAGTTATAAACAATTACAAACAAAAGCCATAAGATGTTTTAAAATACACAATTATTTATTAACAACTATGTACATATTTCATATGGTCATGTTTGAACTCATATCAACACTGTCACACCACATTCTTTGGGAAAAACTTTCCTGTTGAAAATAAACATAGTATGCAAATGATCCAGAAGTATTTAAACAGTTACGGGAGGGGAAACAAAATAGCAGCAATTGATGAGAAATTCTAAACATATTAATACTGTAAATAAATTAAGATCTTCAACAATCGTGCAGGCTATTATTTGTTATGAGGTTATGCCCACATAGTATCACATCCCTATTCATAATTTAAATGCCCATCTTAAGTGAGCTAATCAGTGGTCAGCTGGTGTGCCCATAGCTGAATAGCTTGTGATGGTCATGTTCATGTTTGCCTGTCGTCCCTACTGGGACATAGGCCGCTGACAAGAGCTTTCCAGACGTCTCTGTCCAGGGCTAGTTTCTCCAACTGTCCCCAGGTGTATCCAATCTTCTTGGTGTCTTCTTCCAGGTCACGTCTCCAGGTCTTTCTTGGTCTGCCTCTCTTCCTCCTGCCTTGTGGATTCCAGGTGAGGGCCTGTCTTGTTATGCTGGATACAGGCTTCCTGAGTGTGTGGCCAATCCATTTCCATTTTCTCTGGAGGATCTCTACTTCCACTGGCAGTTGATTTGTCCGTTGCCATAGAACATCATTTCTGATGGTTTTAGGCCAGCGAATTCGCAGGATCTTTCTGAGACATGCGTTTATAAATGATTGTGTTTTCTTCTTATTTATAGCAGTTATTCTCCATGTCTCGGCTCCATAGAGTAAAACAGGTTTTACTAGTGTGTTGAAGATCCGGATTTTTATTCTAAGGGTTAAATCTCCCGAACCCCAAACATTTTTTAGTTGGTTGAAGACTGCTCTTGCCTTACCCGTCCTTATTTTTATGTCTGCTTCTGTCCCACCCTGCTTATCAACAATACTTCCAAGGTAGGTGAATCTATCCACTTCTTCTAGGGCTTCTTCTGTCAGTGTTATAGGGTTGTTGTTTGATGCATTGACTTTGAGAACTTTACTTTTCCCTCTGTGGATGTTCAGACCCAGGCTTGTAGAAAAATTTGCAACCCTGTTGGTTTTATCCTGCATTTGCTGTTGTGTGTGAGAAAGGAGGGCCAGGTCGTCAGCAAAGTCCAGGTCATCCAGCTGGCTCCACAATGTCCACTGTATACCGTTTCGCGTTTTCTCTGTTGACATCTTCATAACCCAGTCTATGGCCAGTAGGAACAGGAATGGTGAAAGTAGGCAACCCTGCCTTACTCCGGTCCGCTTGTGATGGTACAAATAGTAAACTATTGAAACAACTCAGTTCAGAAACATTTTCACTTGAAAAATTCATTCAAATGCCTTACTATTGTATATGTTGGGCTATGTAGCTTCAGTTCACCATTGTAGATTACAAAAACAAAACCCAACCTAATCAGTTTATTACTGTAATTTTTTTTCATAATGTTAAACATACCTTAAAAAACAATTTTAAAAGTTACATTTTTATTTCCACCTTAGCTACAGTAATATTAACATGAGTATTAGAGATGCATTTTTTTTTTAAATTTATGTATGAAACAAGTAAAAACATTTTTCACAAAAACTGAATATATATTTATATAATAAATTTAACCATATATACTTGACAAGAATTATTTGATATAAATATGTGAGCATTTGACTAGATATGTGACGTGACAAGTTTTGTTGCAGGGGCGGATGAACTTGACTCTTCTGAAACAAGTGGGGAAGGAATTAGTGATGGTTTAAGTGTATTTCATTATAAAGGGAGAGAAGTAGTGCACTTAAAACTGTTTTGTGAAAGAAACTCTACACGCATATTAACACCTAATAGGTGTAATGTGAGAGAGTTTAAAATGTTTTTAACTATCAAACTAGATCTAGATTTATCTTTAAGCCAACACGATCCGCGATTTAAAATTCGAAACTAAATGCTACAGACTATTTAAAGTAACGGATATTCCCCGTGGCGGCCGTTACTCGACACGGAAAGCAAGGCTGGTAAAAATACTAAATAATGGATAAGTACATTAGTTTGGCTGATTCAAAACAATAGAAACTCACGTTTTATTGCGAAGTATTGATTTATAAGCTCAACAACATACTTTAAGTTATTTTAATTTATTTACAGTGGAATGGAAAAATATAATTATCTGAGCCAGACAGATAACAAACATTCGGATTAAAAAAACGTTTAGAATTTAGATTGAACATTTCTCAAAGGGCTTTACTCCATGTCACAGCTGCTTTGTTGATTGTATCGAATGCCACATTAACTCTGCAGCTGGGTTGATCTCATTATACAAAATAGATATTTTTATTTTACAAGTATGCCTACATCGTGGTGAGCTATAGATGCAGTGGCGTAGCGAGGTCGGGTGTCACGCGGTGAGGCGTAGCGACCCTTCCCGGGGACAAACCTTCAATTTTCGATTTGCAACCACCCCCTCAAACTTTCGATTTGCGCCCCCTCAAACTCCTCGATTTGCACCCCCATTTAACTCCTCAATTTGCACCCCCACCACTCCCCCCCCCCCAAACTTTCGATTTGCACCTCTTAAAAGACTATGTAACACTCGAATTAATCACTTAATTAAGTGGCATTATCATTTTTCTCTATATTTTTTGCCTTGGTGTCACTTCTCTAAATGTGTCACCCGGTGCGGTCCGCACCCCCCCTCGCTACGCCTCTGTATAGATGCATACACAAAGTTTAAAATATAATTGAGAAGAGAATACATTCATAAAATGTAACATCTTTGGTATTTGGGGCTGTTGTCGTCAAATTGACAATCATTGGTATAAATATTGAGACCATACATACGCAGACACAGTAAGATAGAGCGTTGCTGTTGATGGTGACTGATATGTGGGTTGTTCATCGATTTAGATTTGGCGATGTGTTGGTGCTTCAGGAGCGTAGATCTGGTCAAGTTTAGGCGGGCTAGAAACGTAAATATGACCTAAATTCTCTCACTGTTGCCATAGTGTCACACTGTTGCCATAGTTTCACACTGTTGCCGTAGTGTCACACTGTTGCCATAGTGTCACACTGTTGTCATAGTGTCACACTGTTGTCATAACGTCACACTGTTGCCATAGTGTCACACTGTTGCCATGGTATCACACTGTTGCCATAGTGTCACACTGTTGCCATGGTATCACACTGTTGCCATAGTGTCACAATGTTGCCATTGTGTCACACTGTTGCCATTGTGTCACACTGTTGTCATAGTGTCACACTTTTGCCATATTGTCACACTGTTGCCATGGTATCACACTGTTGGCATAGTGTCACTGTAGTGTTACACTGTTGCCATGGTATCACACTGTTGCCATGGTATCACACTGTTGCCATAGTGTCACTGTAGTGTTACACTGAGACCCTAATGGACTTTAACCCTCACACATAAAATTCTATGCATCACGTGACAAACACTTCAAGCAACAGAACATACATTTCTGAAATCATATTTAACATCCTAGTTATAGTAAACCTATAATCGAACCATGTGTATCACTATGAAAAGAAAAAAAACAACTGTTGTTCCCTTTTTTAGTTCTGTTCATTGTTAAGTTGAAGTGTGTAGAACGTAGTCCGATGCGCTTTGATGTCGTGCAATGACGTCACTAGATATAAAACACAGTAGTAAAGGAGTGCTGGGATTGTAAAGATGGCGTCGCCGTGCTTTACGGGTTGTGTTAGCATCTAGTTGATTTTATGCTATCCGTTTCTACTTGGTTGATGTAATAATAAAAACATTAATTTACACCAAGAACGGTGAGTAGTTCTGTAAATTTGTAAAGCAGACGGCATGTTCATCTTCTATGTTTCCCGCCATCTTACTTTCTGCTATCACTTCGCAGACGATGAGTGTCGAATAGTAGTAGATCTATATCAGACACTTTTCCGCGAAATTAGTTATATCACTTGTCTCTTAAAAAATTAATGGAAACTTGCACGCTCTGAGCTGGTAGGAAAGTGTATTCTTTTAGGAATACACAAACTTGGTGTCTTGAAGAATAGATGTGCTTTAAGAAGCAGACGTCGGGTTTATTGAAAGCAGACGTCAAGCTAAATAAAGCAGACATCCACTTGAAACAGACGTAGGGTTATTATGAGTAGACGTCAAAGTTAATATAGGCAGACGTCAAGATTTCTGGATATAGACCTTCTGGATACCAGAAGCAACAACCACGTCCTTATTGTAGAAAACTATGATTGCGGTGTGAACAACCCAATCTGATTTAGTGGTTATGAATTGTTTCCTGAAGGGCCTTCATAACTGTAGAGTTCAAGATGTCTTCGTTATTAAGGCATTAGACTTTGGTGTTGGTATACAAATAAATATATCTATGGCACTTGTTCAGGGGACGCAGGAGCATCACAGTATCGACATGATAGCCCGCATCTTCGGGTTTAGGGCGGCGCCCCGCCCACTAAAGTACATGTCCACTTCCGGATGACCAGTTCCACGAAACAGCTCGCTGCTTCTAAGATGAACGTTGGGAGAGACGCTCAGCCTGGTACGTCTGGTGCTGGAAACAAAGGGCAGTATTTAGGAGATGGATTACAATATATATATATATATATATATATATATATATATATATATATATATATATATACATATATATATATAGGTATACATAGGTCGGACTATATGTACACATATTTAATCAGTCCCATTTAGATGTCTGTAACTTATTAGGCCTATACTTATTATGCTCATTAACGCAATTTTGGAAATAATTAACCGACTATTTTAAACCGACTTTAACGAACTAACATTTTTGTATTACCAGCCTTTTAGAAAAATCCAATCTACTTTTTGATGTTCTTTAATGAAATTAGAAAATATACTTCTAGTGAGCAGACTAAACATTTTGTATCTATAAATATAAAATAAATCTCTCAGGGACCATAACTGTTGGACGATTTCTGGTGCGTCGGCAAGAGTGATTGATCTTGAGTTGAAATTTATTTTGGTACACCAGAGTCGGCCATTAAATCGCAGTAGAGGGAGGTGGGAAGAGGCAATTATGTCAAAGTGACGGAGTGACTGCCCTTTCTGCTATCTTAACGGAAGGGAGAAAATCTGAAGAACTCTTGCTCCGTGGAGAATTTTAATTTATTTTGGGTCAAACACACATTAAAAAAAAAAGTTGTGACGCAGGTATTAACCAAGAGTTGCGTAATTAGGGTCTCCAGCCCTTCAACAGAAGGATTAATCGCTAGTACAGTAAAAGAGTGGTTTAAGATGCACGATGTGCCGATCACTGTTCAACCACTATAGTAGAGATAGCATGTGTAAGAGACCCCTGCTATAGGCTGAGCTTTTGTTAAAGGCCCACAATCAACAGAGCTTGATAATCTGTCGTAAAGTAAAAGTAACTTTAAAAAAATAAGACTTATTATAATTTGTTTATTTAATTTAACTTGTTTTTCATACAGCAATCTTAAAAAACTGTATAGGCCACATACATTTATCTACAAGCAGAGAATTGTATCCTCTTCTTTATAAGACAACACCCACTTTCACCAAAATCAATTTCATAAGTTAAACACGGGTTAAGTTTAACTTAACCACCTGTTTTCAAGTAAACCAAAACTTAACACAGCCAACACACAACGAAACAAAACATAGCACAACAAAACTCAACGAAACAAAACAAAACATACCGAAACACAACAAACACTGTACAACTAGTATTAAAAGCTGCTACTGTACCTGGAAGGAGACGGCGAAGGACAAGTATACACGGTGGCTGAAATTGTAAAACCAGTTGTTAGCATGGGTATTCCTCGTATATTTATGCATAAGTATGTATATATATATATATATATATATATATATATATATATATATATATATATATATATATATATATATATATATATATACATATATACATTGATAAATATTTTTTTCAAAAATGAAAACACACAGATCTACAAGAACATACAAACATTGGTATGTTAGAATTAGCCAACACAACAATTAAATATTTATCTAGAATTTTTTTTTCTTAAAAAATAAAAGTTGAAGTTCAGAAGTTGAAGATTTAATTTAAAAAATGCTGTTGTAAGAGAAATTTTGGCTATAATATGAAGCGATTGTAATTAGGGTCCACCGTATGTAAAAATTTGTGCACCAATCTACTTACCTATCCCCGTCCCAAACTTAGCATTCTATACTTGTTTTTTTTTGTCCCCACCTCTCTAACCAAAAGTGATATTACGTCATTCTTCTATTAACCTTTAAATCCCACTCATTCCCGTCAACCTACTTAGAGCACTACAGGAATAAACCTACAGGTTTCAATATTTACGGACAATCGAGATGACCGATTTTAACAGGATGTCATCCACATAAATGACAGGTCGATGAAAATGTCAAGAACATGACAAGCTAGGCACGGAGTCGTCGAAAGAGATTGTCAAAAGGACAGACTCATTGTCCAAGTAAAGCGGACAAATTGTCCAAGTATTATCCAGAGAGATAACATTGACAGTAAGGTGGGGTCAAGAGGATGACACATTGTTCACATTTTTTTTTGCCAAAGAAGGGGGGGGTGGGGGTGTCATCCATTAATGACGTCACACTCATATGACAGCACACGAGGGGTGGGTGAGGTTTGTACTTGAGACGAAAGGCGAGGGGAGAGTTTCAAAAGTATGACGTCAATTTTAATTTTAATTTTTTTAAAGTATTTTTTTGGAACTGAATTATATTTATAGCTTTTATTTCGCATTTTAAAAGTTTTTGTTTTTTTATGATGTGAAACTGTAACTTGAAATAGATCAATATACTTAATGTTGACCGATTTCAGTCAATATTTTAAAAAGAAATAAAAAAAATAAGAGTAACCGCGTTTTTGAAAGGGATTGTAGACTAGAGTGTGGCTTCTTTTTAAGATGAGAGGTTAAGTATTTTTTTTAATAATGGGGGGGGGGGGGGAGTGAGGCACCACTTGTTTAAAAAAGCGTGACGTCATTTACGGACGACCTCTAAGCATTACAACAACATCATGACGTCATACAGAAAGAAGACGCATCAAGCAAGACGTCACGGCCGTACTAACAGTAACACGTCACACAGAAAATTTAAAACATGGAGCAGCAACAGTACACAAAACTCCAGCTCTTAAAGTTAATGAAGAGTTTAATTATTTGTTTCACCATGAGACAATATTAACAGCTGAATGGATTCAAACATTAAGTTCTGTTTTTTTTTTAAAAATTACAAACTGGAGTAATAAAAAATAGGATTTAATTTTAGAAGAAGCCAAACAAATACGATTTAAAAAAAAAAAATTGGACATTTTTTTTTGGATAATCATCTTTGTCACATTCAAATCACTCTACGTGATCTTGCACGTTCGGTAACAAGGTTTTCTTTTAATTTAGGTTTTAAGGAATCTAGTTTAAGACAAGGATGATGCAATACCCACACATTCTATTCTCAGAAAAGTGGCGTGTGCGGTTTGATGCAGCTAAAGTGCGCATCGATTACCTTACTTCAAGCCAGTTACATGTTTCGTTGTTATGGCCGATAACAATATTTTAACACCAAAACTATCTCTAACGTACTATATCTATTTGTTACCAGTGATTTAAGCTCAAGCCGTTAGGGTTTAAGTTACGAGCTCTCGCTGCAAGTGAGTCTGGTTAATCTAATAAGGATGGTACATGGAAAATGTGAGGGTATAGAGACATTTGGAAGTTATAGGGAAAACGGGAGGGTAAAGAATGAAAGAAGGCGTTTAGAAAAAAATGGGAGGGTATAGAATAAATTGGAGGTTACGTGAAAAATGAGAGGGGATAGAATGAAAGATGGCGTATAGGAAAAAAAGGGAGTGTACAAATAGAAGAAAATACGTTTAATTTTGTTTTTACTTCTAACAAGAGTGTTCAGGGATATTGTAAATACCATCAGCTAAGTAGAATCTCTAGTAGTGTGGCGAGTGAAGTGCTCATTTATTCAAAATAGTAGGTGCATTTTTTTGAACAACATACAACAAGCAAGTAATGTAATGTTTTTAGGCATTGTTTATATATATATATATATATATATATATATATATATATATATATATATATATATATATATATATATATATATATATATATATATATATATATATATATATATATATATATATATATATATATATATATATGGATTCTATAGTTGAAGACAGTGATCGAGTTGGGGTATAGTTCAGGATTCCAGAATTAAATCCCGTGTACACGTAAAGTCAAACTCCAAGGTACACAATCAGATTTTTCTACCACGTGATCAGGGTGTCGACAGATATAAAAAAAATGTGCACGAAATGTGGTCAAATCTTGACAGAAATTAACCTACCATTGAAAAGTGGGTTCCGTAATCTGTGAATTAAGAAGGGATAAAAATTTGTTTTAAAAAGGTATACGATTTTAAATAGAATTTGCTTCTTTACTAAATTTTTAAAAATCAGTAAAAAGACACATTAATGCGGCCTGCTACTTAAAAGAAAACATCGACTAATCCACAAAATACTAATGCTAAAATAAGTGTCAAATACTTCGTTTTAATTTAGGTTTGACATTTTTAAAAACCTGGCTGATTAAATATTAACTTTTACGGAGAGGCAAAAAACGATTCGCTAAATAAGGGGTTAAAAAATCATTAAATACCTTTTTCAGTTGTTAATATTAATGCATTTACTAAATATTGCATTTAAACTAGTAATTAAATATGCTTAAGAAATTTTGACAGATTTTAAGAGCAACCGGGATAATCTTCTCATTAAAATAAGATGATTATTAGGTCGTCTTTACTATTGATTGGTTCCTGGCATACATTTTAGAAAATTATTGTCTAAATATGTTTCTAAATCTGAACTAATTAAAAAAAGTATTTTTTTTAAAAATGGTGTTAATTTATTTTCTGTCACATCTAATGGACATATTTACGATAGAGCAAATGAAAACTTTTTAAGTCAATTAAAGTCTTAAATTTACGAAGAAAAAGCCACCCATCTCGGTTAGTAACTTTTCATTAAAGCCCCATTGATTATTTTTTATAGCGGGCTTTGCACGCCTTTTTAATAGTGAATATATAAGAGTTGTAATTTGAATTAAATGGTATCCTGGGTGGTCTAATTTAATTTTAATATAACGGAAAAACGTGTGGTCTAGTTTAATTTTCATTCTACGGAAAGCCGTATGACTATGATTACTATGAACTATGATCTGTTTCCATTTTGATTCTACGGAAAGCCGTATGATGTGTTTCCATTTTGATTCTACGGAAAGCCGTATGATCCTTTTTAATTTTGATTCTACGGAAAGCCGAGTGGTCTGTTTTAATTTTGACTGGATGATCATGGGCGCCCACTAGACTTATTGAGCGAAGTGACTGTTTATCGGATACTACATGAAATTAAAATAAATAAGATTTTTCTTCAAAAAGAAAACAATTATTATGTATAACATTTTATAAGTTACTTTTTTTCCTCATTACTATACTTAAATTAAAATATGTTATATCTGTTTGATAATAGGATATTTAAAATACTTAATTAAACATATTTTATCTGTTTGATAATAGGATATTTAAAATATAGATCCTCGGCAAAAATCAGAAACGGGAAAGGAAAGAGGTGTCTCGTATCCCCCCTACCCCCAGTCAAATCTATGCTGACAGCCCCCATGATCAAAACACATCAAACGTCAAGTAAAAGAAAAAAAAAGTTGGGTGAAGCTGAAAGATATTACAACATCAAATCTATAAAGCTGGGTAAAAACATCGTAAATTTCAACATGCAACATGCGAATCCACGACGAAAAATGTGCAAGGGAAGCGTGCAAGCTGATAAAAAGGAATCTAAAATTAAATTAAATAATAGAGTACAAAGCTTTACATTGAAATAATAATTTAAAACGTTTTCTATCCTTTAAAGCATGTGATAAAACATTTTTATAATTAATAAAATAAAATGACATGTCCTTTTAAGATACATTTAGTGAAGTGTGAAATAAAACATCAACAGACATGCCCTTTGAATCCCTACACATGTTAAAAGAGTTATTTAATTAAAATTAGCATCTGAAAGTTAATTAATTGAACACAAATTAGAAGAAAAACATTTTATGGAAAATGAAATATCTTGTTAAAGAATAAACATTTTTAAAATAAACAGCAGACAAGTAAAAAAAAAAGTAATCTCCTAGATTTTTGTGTTAGAAATGTGATAGACAAAAAAAAAAAGCGAATAAAGGGTTAAGAAAAACAAAATTCAAAGAGTGGGCAGAGGGTTAATGAGGAAATAATGAAGCTAGCTATGTGCAGATAGGGTTGTAGAAAAAGTGCAATCAGGAAGTTGGCATGTGCGGGTGCGTAACAGAGGTGTCTGGGGGGGGGGGGGGGGGCACAACAAAGAGTGTTAATCAAGGATCTACATGGGGTCAAGGTCGGGTGAGTTACGACAATCACATCCCAAGGAGGAATAATATTTGAGGTCATACGTGTTGTTTTGGTTTTTGTCGTGCTTGTTTTTGTAGTTGGTTTTTTTTTCTCGACCGCCGTACGGCCGGTCGTCAGTTGTAGTGGGGGTTGTCTTGCGGCGGCCGCTGAAGAAGATGGAAGCGGATCCTTCGCTTGTGGATCGGCGAGTTCTTCTTGGGTACCGTCAGCTCCATGAGCCCGTTTCCCGTGGTGGCCATGGCGCCGTTTCCTGAGCTCAAGTATGGGCTTGGAGCTGCAAGGTTGGAGCTGGAG